CTCTTTTACAGGTGAGCCCTGGCCAAGAAGGCACCACACAAAATAATCAACAAAGAAACAATGGTTCTGTGTAAAAGTTGGAGACCACCCTTCATTTATTTATTTAATTTTTCTAGTCAAAACGGCCATTAAATACATTATTCATTTTTCAGAAGAAAATTCTGAGGAAATTACTTGTCAGATAATCCACCTGCATGTGGAAGAAGAGAGTCAAAGGAAAATAGGTGAAAAAAATGGAGTTTAAGAAATTATTAAATGATACAGAGAAAGAGGATTTCTAGCAACCACCTGGAAGACCTGGTAGGCCACCAAACCTGCCACAAGATAACAGTACAAGCTTTCATCTTTGAGAGAGAGGAGATAATCAAGCTGCTCCAGATCTGACAAAATCCACAGCCATCCTTCCACTGTGAGAAGACAACACAACGCTATGGGTCTGAAAGGATGTGTAGCTGTCAAGAAGCCTCACTGAGAAAATGGAACAAAAAAGAAGACATCAAACAAAAGAAGCTGTTGGTGTTCTCAGAACAATGGACTGGCCACCCCAGAGTCCAGACCTCAACATCACTGAATGTGTTTTGGACTTCTTGGATCATGAAAAGCAGAAAATGCAACCAACTTCTAAGACTGAACTGTGGAGGTGTGGAAAAATATCCCTGCATTTCTTTGTAAAACTTGAGAAGAATGGAAACTGTGCAGAAAGTAAGTGCTAAAAATAAGTTGAGTCATTGAAATAATTTCCATCTGAATATATGTTCTGCTTTTTTTCTCCTGGCGCTGAAAAATTAATAATTTATCGTTATTGGCTGTTTTGACTGGGAAGTAAATAAGTGAAAGGTGGTCTCTGACTTTTGCACAGTGCTGTAGGTGTGAATTCTGTGACCTGCACACAACTAGTAATAACAACTAGTAAAACAGTTATAATGAACGTTTTTGTACCATGAATCTTGAGAAATATCCATCCGATTACTATGAACACTGGCAGACGCCGTTGCGACAGGAATACTAGATGAACAAAAGCAGAGTCTACTTGAAACTGTTTAACTACATAAAATAACAATAAGTGCGTTTACATGCACTTAATAATCCGATAACTGCAGAAAATCTGATTTTGTCAGTAATCTGAGCAACGTGTTTTCATGCACTTGAAAAATCAGATAATGGGAAACTCTGGGTTTATATGAGTCAGACAGTAATCAGATTTCTGCTTTGCAACCAGCCAATAAACTCACAGAAGAAGCCGTGACGTAAACATAATGTAAAACTCAAACATGCCGCCTTTTTTAAAACATTGCACCGCTTTACCTGAAAATATGAACATACATCATTAAGAAAACGAAGAATATTTAAATCCTTCATTTTGCCGAGCATGTATTTAGTTTCAGTGTCACTCCAAAAGTGTTTTGCTGCATCTTGCAGCAACGCTGCTGGCTTATTTCTGGTACCGCAGTCTGTTTTTTGCGCATGAGCAGACTGAGAAATCCGAAAGAAATCCGAGTAAGAGTTCACATGCACCGAGAAATCTGATTACTGAGCTAAAATCCAGCTCTCTTTATCGAATTTCCTCATTTCCAGACCTTACACTGATCTAAGAAATCAGAGTGTGCTGTTAACATGACCATTTGAATAATCAGAAAACTGCCTAAATCCGATTATGATCGGATTATTGAGTGCATGTAAACGCACTCAGTGTTACAGTTTACCCCGTGTTAGGTTGAGCCCCGCTCTACCCTGACATCGATCATAGATGATGGCAGACCAACAAAAGTGAACCTTCAGACAGGCGTGTAGTTAATGACCCATTGACATCCACTTATGAACCAATTGTCAGTGATTAACCACTTAATAAAAATCAATGCAGGCTTGTTTTTAATGGACTACTCAGTGTAATCCTTTGTCTACCACTGCCACCAGCCTGCCTTTCCCCAGGCTGGAACACGATAACTGTGCTTCGACACATAGTTTGTAGTCGTGCTCTTGTATTGTTAATATATTTATGGACTATATTGCACAAGGTTATTTTTTCATTTTGTTGTTTATGTTGAGTTCACGTGTTTACACCCAGTTTATTTATTCATTGCCTCAGGTATGAGGTATGGAAAGTGCTTTTCCACCTTAATTTTAAAGCTGACCTTAAACCTGACAGCGCACAGATAGCAACGGTTCGCAGACTTACTTCACTCTCTGATTGGACAGATTAGAGAGACTGTAATGGCTTTTTATCTCCTTCAATAGCACTCAGCACTCACACGTACTGTATTCTGAATGTCGTACTCTGAATGAATGCCGATGTCTGCCCATAGCCACAGAGCACAATCTTTTTCTGTACATTGTTGTTGTATATGACCATTTAGGTGTACATATCTGCATACATTAAGTATTTGTATATAAACATGACTAATACATTGACCAGCCATAACATTAAAACCACCTTCTTGCTTCTACACTCAGCTCCACTGACCATATAGGAGCACTTTGCAGTTCTACAATTGCAAACTGTAGTTCATCTGTTTACATACTTTGTTAGCCCCCTTTCACCCTGTTCTTAAATGGCCAGGACCCCCACAGGACCACCACAGAGCAGATATTATTTGGGTGGTGGATCATTTTCTGTGTTTTGGGCTGGTACGAGTGGATCAGACACAGCAGTGCTGCTGGAGTTGGACTGTGTCCACTCACTGTCCACTCTATTAGACACTCCTACCTTGTTGGTCCACCTTGTAGATGTAATTTTAGAGACAGTAGCTCATCTGTTACTGCTTATCTGTGTTGGTCATCCTCTAGTCCTTCATCAGGAGTCACAGGATGCTGTTGGCTGGATATTTTAGGTTCTCAGTCCAACTGCTATGTCTGATCCACTCACACCGGCGCAACAGCACCACGTCATTGTCACTGCAATGCTGAGAATGATCCACCACCCAAATAGTACCTGCTCTGTGGTGGTCCTGTGGGGTCCTGACCACTGAAGAACAGGGTAAAAGGGGGCTAACAAAGTATGCAGAGAAACAGATGGACTACAGTCTGTAACTGTAGAACTACAAAGTGCTCCTATATGGTCAGTGGAGCTGATAAAATGGACAATGAGCGTGGAAACGAGATGTACTTAATGAAGTGGTCAGTCAGTGTATATGTATATTATTAGGTATAATAAATGTCAAAAGATCATGACATTAAGCGCCATGACTTCATTCATGCTAACACATGCTATGAATCTGTACCCATATAGCAAATGTATTCCATAATATTGCGACATCTGATTGTACATTTATGTATAAATACTAAAACCTCCTGGAATTACGTCTTCCAGGGTGCAAGACTGTGTGTAAATACAATGACACACTTGACCGAAACTTGATTGAATGACTGAGAGAAAATGCAGTTGAGGATCTTTTTGTCCACTTTCCATTTGAACTTCAGTTCCATTCCTTTAGAAAGGAGTTTTGATGAATGCGGAAACTGTGTTGCGATTAGGTTGAAAGACGGTGAGTCCTGCAGACTGGACAACCTGTGACGACCTTTTGAAAAGAGCTGGTTTTTGAAGAGAGCCTATGCTGTTTAAGAGACTGAAATAAAATGACAATATGAAAACCCTTCTGTGTGTCGTGTGTTGATACTGTGAAACTTGTGGTAGTTTTTAGGTTTACAAAGGAAAGCTTTAAAGGGGGATTTTCCAAGAGGTTGAGATGTAACAAAGTTATTCAGAGTGGTTTGATGTGAAATGGTTATAAATAAACTTGCTGACTGTACAGTGGTGGCCTACAACACAAATATAGCCACTTTATGTACTAACCAAAATGACCAGAGAACCTCTGTACTTCTCTGCCAGGCAGATTAAGAAAAGTTTTTAGACTGTTACGACTCTGGGTCATGATGTTTTGTTCTGTGCAAAAAGACAAAAACTTTCTCAAAACTATCAGGCAGTGTATTCATAACCATTTCATGTACTTTCTGTGAAGGACCTTTTAGGGGTATTAAATTCAGATGTCTGGTTCCTGTCACCACCACTGTGAACACTGTATGACTTTGTATTTACCTTTTATTTATTTAGAATTTTACGTCTACTTGACCAGGATATCACTAAGCATTTTGCTTCTGTACTTGTCATATTTCCCTGTGAAGCACAGTATCATGTCTTTGAGCTGAGTGGTTTCTTGTGACCAGAGCCCAACAAAATTCTGTCCAAAACTGACCCGAGCCCAACAAAATTCTGTCCAAAACTGACCCAAGCCCAACAAAATTCTGTCCAGAACTGACCCGAGCCCAGCAAAGTTCTGTCCAAAACTGACCCGAGCCCAACAAAGTTCTGTCCAAAACTGACCCGAGCCCAACAAAATTCTGTCCAGAACTGACCCGAGCCCAACAAAGTTCTGTCCGAGAACTGACCCGAGCCCAGCAAAGTTCTGTCCAAAACTGACCTGAGCCCAACAAAATTCTGTCCAGAACTGACCCGAGCCCAGCAAAGTTCTGTCCAAAACTCACCCAAGCCCAACAAAGTTCTGTCCAAAACTGACCTGAGCCCAACAAAATTCTGTCCAGAACTGACCCGAGCCCAACAAAATTCTGTCCGAAACTGACCCAAGCCCAACAAAATTCTGTCCAAAACTGACCCTAGCCCAACAAAGTTCTGTCCAAAACTGACCCGAGCCCAACAAAATTCTGTCCGAAACTGACCCAAGCCCAACAAAATTCTGTCCAAAACTGACCCTAGCCCAACAAAATTCTGTCCGAAAATGACCCGAGCCCAACAAAATTCTGTCTGAAACTGACCCGAGCCCAACAAAATTCTGTCCAGAACTGACCCGAGCCCAACAAAATTCTGTCCGAAAATGACAAAGCCCAACAAAATTTTGTTCCCGATTCTGTCCCATCATTACCCAAAGTGCTGAATAAAACCCGATAGGATAACAAAATAGGATAATACGAGGACAGCCATCATGACGATGGATACAATTTTACATTATACAAAATAATATGATGAAAACAATCAGCTGTCTAAAATTAGGTTGAAATTCTGCTTTAACAAATGTATTCCTCAAGCATCGCCTTCCAGCAAATGTTTTTAGTCTGGATAAACTTTCTATAATGCGCTTTTCTCATGATGTGTGTGATGCTGAAATAGCAAAATATTAGTTTTATCTGTTTAATCCCTGAACTCCCTGGGTGAACAACTCTGGTCCCGGTGCCGGTGTCCAGCACAGTCTGGTGATTTACCTGCTCAAACATACCTGATTCAACTGATCTGTTAAATGCCAGTTTTTTGGGGTGTGTTTCAGTAGGGCAACTACCTGGACACCAGCCCTCCAGGACCAGAGTTGGGCACCCCTGACGTAGAACATCTTACATAGATTGTCAGATTGTCATAAGTTGTCGGTTCTCTGGTTCTCCAGAGTCCCATTTACTCTTGGGTTCCTGACTCCATTTTGCATAGATGCCTTCTTCATAATCTCCATTTCCTTCAAACTCCTCATCCAGAGAGATGCTCTTCTCCACTGAACGTTCCTCTTTGGTCCACATGACGTCCTAAATGAATAAAAGAAGTTTAAGTTCTGAGTAAATACACCAATTCTTCAGTGGTCAGGACCCCCATGGACCCTCACAGAGCAGGTACTATTTGGGTGCTGGATCATTCTCAGCACTGCAGTAACACTGACGTGGTGGTGGTGTGTTAGTGTGTGTTGTGCTGGTGTGAGTGGATTAGACATAGCAGTGCTGCTGGAGTTTTTAAACACTGTGTCCACTCACTGTCCACTCTATTAGACACTCCTACCCTGTCAATCCATCTTGTAGATGTAAAGTCAGAGACGATAGCTCATCTGCTGCTGCACAGTTTGTGTTGGTCATCCTCCAGTCCTTCATCAGTGGTCACAGGATGCTGCTGGCTGGATATTTCTGGATGGTGGACTATTCTCAGTCCAGCTGTGACACTGAGGTGTTTAAAAACTCCAGCAGCACTGCTGTGTCTGATCCACTCAGACCAGCACAACACACACTAACACACCACCACCACATCAGTATCACTGCAGTGCTGAGAATGATCCACTACCCAAATAGTACCTGCTCTGTGGTGGTCCTGTGGGGGTCCTGACCATGAAGAACAGCGTAAAAGGGTGCTAACGAAGTATGCAGAGAAACAGATGGACTACAGTCTGTAACTGTAGAACTACAAAGTGCACCTATATAGTAAGTGGAGCTGATAAAATGGACAATAAGTCATAATGGTCATATGGTCATAATGTTATGCCTGATCGGTAAAACAACAATTCAGAAAGTTACTGTATACAGTACCTCAGTATATCTAATCCAAGTACAAGTTTAACCAAAATGCCTACAATATTAATCCTGCAGTCAGAATTTTGTGTTTCAGAGGGAGAACGGGTTTCATCTCGATCCTCGATCGTGCAGTTACACATTCAGAGCTAACCTGCGCACATACCTCATCATGCTGCTGCAGGTATTTCTCTGCATACTCCAGCATCCGCCTCTGTGTGGCTGTTTGATTAAAGTATCGTTCTGCTTCCTGAGAACCAAGAACAAAAAACATTATATAACATTTTTTCCATTTCACTGGTCTTACAAAAACACTGCATGACAAAACTAGTGTAGCCATTAGAAATTCTTTATACACTCTTAAAAAAGATGGTTCTTCAAGGGTTCTTCAGTAAAGAAAATGGGGTAACACTTTACTGTAGGGTGCTGTTCATAAGGCTACATGACAGCTACATAAGCTTGTCCTCACAACTGACATAACCCTACATAACTGTTCATAAATGTTTATTCCAGCAGGCATCATTCGCTATAAAGGTTACGTTTGCCAATTTTGATCAAAGTCAGCTAAAGTAGCCTTTATGACAGATGTCGCCTGTTGGAATAAGCATTTATAAACAGTTATGTAGGGCCATGGCAGTTGTTAGGACAAGCTTATGTAGGTGTCATATAACCTTATGAACAGCACCCTACAGTAAAGTGTTCCCGAAAATGGCTCTAGAACCATGGATGTTCAAAGAAACCTGTGCATGATTAAGGGTTCTTTGCTTGGTGAAATGGTTCTTCAGATTGATCGAATGTGCTGTAGATGGTTCTATGTAGAACCTTTTTAAAAAAGGTTCTATATGGCACCAAAAAGGATTGCGATGTCAAGTTTGTAACAACATAAGAACCCTTTTTGATGCTATATAGAACCATCTACAGCATATTCTCCATCAATCTGAACAACCATTTTGAAAAAAGGTTCTAAATAGCACCAAAAAGGGTTCTTTCACTGTCACAATATCAAGATACGATGCTGTATAGAACCATGTACAGCTAAATCATGCTAATAGCACTGAACAGCTTCTCTACCTTCAGAAAACCCAGCCCAGTTGTGCTCTACACTCTTAAAAAAGAGGGTTCTTCAAGGGTTCTTTAGTAAAGGGAATTGTTCTATATAGAATCATTTCATGCTTGTTGTTAGAATCTTGACATCAGAATAATAAAAGAACCCTTTTGGTGCTATATAGATCCATCTATATCACATTCTCCATCAGGCTATAGACCCATTTCACCATGCAAAAAATAATTTAAGTATGAATTAGCTCTCTTTAGAATTCATGGTTCTATTTAGAACCATTTTCTTTACTAAAGAACCCTTGGAGAACCATCTTTTTTAAGTGTGTACAGTAGCTACAACGCTACAAATCATAGCTATTAGCACTGAACAGCTTTTGTTCCTTTAGAAAACTCAGCCCAGTTCTGCTCTACACAAAAAGAGGGTTCTTTCAGGGTTCTTTCCTTGAAGAACCATCTTTTTAAGTGTGTACTGTAGTTGCTACTAAATAGAACCATTCAATTTCTTAAAAAACTCTTAAAGAACTGACTTTTTAAGGAGTGCAACAGTCACAAGTTCACCCGTCAACCAGCACAATGAAAAATTCATTGACCACCCGCAGTCCTCTCACTTACAGAGATTCTGAACTGACCATTACATTCTCACTAACAGCTTCATTACCACCTGAATGGCTTTGCTGGTGCTCTCACCTCTCACACAGGAGCTTTGGAGCTTTATTTTAGGCCAAAAGGAACCAAAAAGAGAAGAACCGAGTCTTAGTTCTCACACTGAATGTACAAAGAAGTTCAATGCAGTTCTACCAGTTACTCAGTAACTTACAGAGGCATTCTGCACACTTAATAATGCTTCTTCAAGGGTTCTTTAATGAAGAAAATGGTTCTATATAGAACCATGAACACTCACAGAACCCTTTGCATGATTAAAGGGTTCTTTGCACAGAAAGCGTTCTTCAGATTGATGGAGAATGTGCTGAATATGGTTCCATATAGAACCCTTTTGAAAATGGTTCAATATAGGACCAAACAGCACTTCTATTATTACAAGCTTGACATTGTAACAATAGAAGAACCCTTTTTGGTGCTAGAACAATTTTCCTTACTAAAGAACCCTTGAAAAACTATCATTTTTAAGTGTGAGGAGTTTAATAAGTGCTTTGTGTCAGCCTGTCCTGACTGCTAGCCTAGCTGCTGATCTACAGGCTAATAAATACAACCAAGCTAGCATTAGCATAACTCTTACCTCAGTCATCTAACAAAATCATAAAAAACATCAATTCTGTCTTTATTCTTCACAAAATGGACAGCAGATGCTGTTTTTATGCTTTCAGTGAGAGAAAAGGACCCAATCTGAGGTAAGATAGATAGTCAGTTAGCCAGCTTGCTAACTTTAGCTTCTTCTCCTCTGAGTAGTTGCTGTAATTTGAGTAATCAATTTTCACCATTGTGAAGATGATTTACTACAGTTACACAGTCACTATAAGATACACCGATCAGGCATAACGTTATGACCAACTCCTCGTTTCTACACTCTTTGTCCATTTTATCAGCTCCACTTACTATATAGGTGCACTTTGTAGTTCTACAGTTACAGACTGTAGTCCATCTGTTTCTCTGATACTTTGTTAGCCCCTTTTTACCCTGTTCTTCAGTGGTCAGGACCCCCATGGACCCTCACAGAGCAGGTACTATTTGGGTGTTGGATCATTCTCAGCACTGCAGTAACACTGATGTGGTGGTGGTGTGTTAGTGTGTGTTGCGCTGGTCTGAGTGGATCAGACACAGCAGTGCTGCTGGAGTTTTTAAACACCTCAGTGTCACTGCTGGACTGAGAATAGTCCACCAACCAAGAATATCCAGCCAACAGCGTCCTGTGGGCAGCGTCCTGTGACCACTGATGAAGGACCAGAGGATGACCAACACAAACTGTGCAGCAGCAGACGAGCTATCGTCTCTGACTTTACATCTACAAGCTAGGAGTGTCTAATAGAGTGGACAGTGAGTGGACACTGAGGTGTTTAAAAACTCCAGCAGCACTGCTATGTCTGATCCACTCATACCAGCACAACACACAAACACACCACTACATCAGTGTTACTGCAGTGCTGAGAATGATCCACCACCCAAATAGTACCTGCTCTGTGAGGGCCCATGGGGGTCCTGACCACTGAAGAACAGGGTAAAAGGGGGCTAACAAAGTATGCAGAGAAACAGATGGACTACAGTCTGTAACTGTAGAACTACAAAGTGTTCCTATATAGTAAGTGGAGCTGATAAAATGGACAATGAGCGTAGAAACAAGGAGGTGGTCATAATGTTATGCCTGATTGGTGTTTTCTGAAGTGTTGTCTGATTTCCTTCTGCATTCGCCAGCTAGCGAAGAAAAAAAACTACTGCAAAGCAGTTCTGTAAAAGTTACTCTGACCTTCAAGATACATCATCAGAAGGGGGCTCCACTCTTTAAACTGGAAAGTCTTGCCTTAGAGACACTGCAGCACTGCTCTAGCAGATGAGTAGACACATCTTTAATACAAATGGAGTGTCCCAGTTTTGACCTGCTACTTTTGTACTTCTATTAAAGCTGTTTTATCAGTAATAAAATGCTTTTATTTAAAGGGGAACTCCACTGATTTTCCAAAAATTCTACGTAAGTGAATGGATAAGATGTAAACAAAGTCATTCAGAGTGGTTTGGTGTGAAATGCTCCATTGTTGAGAAACTTAACGAATCAGAATTGTTCAGTGGTGGTGATAGGAACCGGACGTCCACCTCTAAAAGCTCCCTCACAGAAAGTTATTACATGAAATGTTTTTCTGATGTCATATGATAGTTTTGTGATAAAGTTTTGCCTAAAATGTATTTTGATCCATTCGAGGATTTTTCAGATTTTCCACTATTTTATCATCATCATTACATATATAAACTCAGAAGACTCGTGTAGGTTCACTGGTGGTTTTGGATACTAAATAAAATGGCTATATTTGTGTTGTCATGGTGACCCCTGGTTCCTATCAGCACCACTGTAAAGAAATCAGAGCCTGTAAGTTTATCTACAATGAACCATTACACATCAAACCACTCTGAATGACTCTGTTTATGTCTCAGTGACTGAATTATTCAGAAATATTGAAAAATTGGTGGAATTCCTCTTTCAGTAAGTATTTTACCAAAGTACCGATGCAGTATGGGTTTAGGATACTCTGCATACCTCTGTGTGTGTGTCAATAACTGGCAATAGCTTTGAGTTTGAAAGACACCCAACCTTAATCATTTGTCTGTTGAAATTCAGAGTAAGTCCAGTTATAAACTAATACAAAAAGGCAGACATTATGACATTCTAATAACCTATATTAATGTTGGCTGATCTTGCTCATAGTTAATGTTCTAAATCAACAAAATAGCTAATTTCCAGTAGAATATGGCAAAAATTAAGTGAGTGAGCTACACTAAGTCTAACATGTTCGAGAACTGCCCAGGGCTTCTGGTGATGTGTCTTCAAATTCATCTAAATTAGATTTTTCGCTGAACTATTGACTTAATTGGACTGTGCTGACCGGTCGTGGGTAGAAGTGATGCTGCTGTAGACCCCACTGCTGCCTGTATTCATGGTAGTACTGCATATTCTGCTGCATGACTTCATCTGAAGGGTCAAACAGCATGTAGCTGGATGCGCAAGGAACAGCTCTGCGAGCGTCATTCACTACAGACAGAAAAAGATGAAAAGAGATGCATTGGAACGCTTCATGAGTGTAGAAACAAGGAGGTGGTTTAATGTTATGGTTGATAATTGTGTGTATACATGCATTATACTCACATACTTACTTTTATAGTAGGCAAACTGGAGATGATGGTACATGGTGGCCACAAACTTCTCCACAAAGAATCCTCCCACATTGGGCATCAGGTTTTCTTCACATTTGACCTTACACCTTAGAGCCTCAATGCAGGTGTCTGCAAAAGGGGCATAGGAGATGATGTAATGTTATTACACTTAAGCCTGGGCAATAAAATGATAACTATAAGGAAATCAAACTTGTTTATATCAAAAGATTATGCCATTCTGTTCCTCGGTCCAGTTCTAGCTGCAGATGTTTAACTTTTAGCAGTTGCTGCTTCTGAACCCTACGTGGCACTGTATATCTTTTGCCCTCTAGACAGGGAGGAGGAAGAAGTCTAGCCATTCACTAACAACAGCACAAAACAGCAGGACATTTAGCAGAGTTGGCTATTGTTGGCTATTTTTAGTGCTGAAATTATGGAGTATGGAATTATTTCAGTAGCTGCATTTTATGTACAGTTAGCACTGATTTCATGCCACAGATAAAAATGTTCTGAGCTTACTATAAAGAAAATGAAAACATATCAGTGCCTTAAAAGCCTCAAAACATGGTATAATTATTCATATTACTGAACACTGATGCTAGTGATCATGATGATGGTGGATTAAACACCCCAAGTGCCATATTTTTAACTGAAAAGTAATCAAACTATGGTAAAATAAAATAAAGTTCTTGTACAGATTACTAGAAAAACTTCATGTATGCCTAAAATGCACTAGTAGTTAAGCTAAACATAGTCCTATTAGGCATTCAGTTCTTATCTAGCCTGAAGCTTCTGTTCTTTTGTCCTATACTATATTTAAAGGAAGGGACAGCCACTGATAGGTCTCCACAATGCATGGTTTGTTCATCAATCATTATCGCAATATTGGCCTTTTCAGTACTGATATCACAACAGGTTATGTTATGCAAATGAACCCTCTCACCAATCACAGTGTTTTTACTGTGCGCTGTGAGTGTCCTGACCAATCATAGCTCTAGATGAGTTTCCATGGGTGTTTCGATGAATGAAGATGTTCATGTAATCCAACAAAAGTGAATTATTTTGGTCAATATAATGCAGGACCAGATGAGTGAAGAAGAACAAGGCAACACATGTCTTTACCAATTAGACCTGGGTGATTTCACAATATTGTTTCACAATATTGTTGTGACAATAAGCATCGTCTACCTGGATATTTAAAAAGTGAATCACCCAACTATTTAATCAATACTCTCTCAATGTTTTACCACTGCAGGGTTGAGAGAAACTAATGCTAACCTGCTAAAGAAGCATCCAGTTCTTCGTGCGTTACGACATCAACCGCTCCCTCACAGGCCGCAGTGCACAGAGCATGTTCATGTAGGTACTCTCTCAGTGCCTCTTCCATATCAATGACAGAGCCACTGTAGTCTCCGGAGTTCAACAGCAACACAGCGGTCAGGAAACTCCTCTAAACAAAACACAAACACATTAGTCATCATCCAAACAAGACAGTCTCATCTAAAGTGACAGTTCACCAATAAATCTGTTTTACACACTTTCCCTCCTTATGGCAGTATATGGATTTCAAATATGTCACATATGTTAGCATATATGGATTTCACATATGGACAATAACAGTAACCATTCAACATACATACATACATACAAGTGTGATTAAATAGTGAAAATTCTATATTTTGGCAGCATTTTTGGTTAATAACAGAAAATGCCGTCCTTCTTGATTAGCGAGTCATATGTGCTTGATGTGTTTTTGCCCTCTGAGTGTCCATTAAAGCCAGCCTGACCTCATACAGTCTCTCTTCGTGATTGGTGAGGGAGACCTCCAGGCCAAGAATGCTGGTGTAAATCTTCATGCGTTCCACCATCAGTGTGTCTTTTGGGTTCTTCTGCAGGTACGTGTGTGCTGCTGATGCTGCGTTCTCCGTCTCGTTCAGCTGAGGAGTTCAACGTGAGTTCACTCTTAAGGTGATAGTTTGGACGCAGCAGAAAATCAATCAGTTTCTCTTACCTCAAATGTGGTTGATCAGTGGTGTCTGAAGTTTGCTTCTTTAGTTTTGCACTGGAGCTGCAAGGCTAATGTAGCTAATGGAAGCTTATGCTACACAAACACTATGATGATAAAGACACTGTATGACATGCTGTTATCTACAAAATGGACAAAACATCTCACATAGCTAAAATGAGTTGTAGCATACGGAGCCCCTGAAGGGACGTGGTGTGTTTTTTTTTTTAGATAAAAGTCTGGTGTGCACCAGATACTATCAGGTGAGCACCCAATACTGTCAAGTGAGCACCAGTGGTGAGCACCGGCTGTGCTAATTATCCTCCATCATTCCATCAAGGAGGAAGACGTTTATGACTTTTTAGAGTTGTGACAGGTGGCACAAGAACAAATAAAGTCACTTAAAGATGATAATGTAAGTTTATTTGTACAGGCAGCCATAAAAACCTTAGTAATTTACCAATTTATCCCTTTCAAAGCGATATAGCTAAAGGTAGGCTGCCTTTGCTAGATACAGTTAGCTAGCTAACATAGCTAGCTATAAGGCCTGCATTGTTCTCTATGCAATTTATCTTAGGTTTGGTGAAACGACACATTCGTAGCTACCTTTTAGTTTAGGATATTTAGCTACCAAAGTTCCCACAGTTTGCTAACAGTAGCATTTTGCTACTAGTTTGTTAAAGAACACTGTCTGCGTGCTCAGTCGCTTAAACTGCATAAGTAGTAAACTTGCCCGGACATGGCTTTTTTGCATTAAGACTATACACAACCGTGACAAAAATGCTTACCACATAGTTCTGGGTAACTAGTTTTGAACACTACCTGCCATTTCTGTTATGTCTGCTAACTGTGTAGGCTAGCATCACACTGAGTCAGAGCGTGTGGGGTCACTTATGCTCTCTTGGACCTTGAAAACAACGTTTGTCCATGTTTAAAGAAACATACATTGTCAGAAACCACACAAGCAAGTCTATTTTAAATGACTTAATTACTTAACACAGTTTAAGGGGCGTTGTATAGTGATTTAGGCCTGCAGTTTGCACAGTGCAAATTGGTGTCCTTACACTTCCATTACCTGTTAGCTACATTAGCTTTGTAGCTCCAGTACAAACTAAAGAAGCAAACTTCAGACACCCAACAAGGGCAGATCTACTACATTAGGGTAAAGAGACAGTCTGTTAATTTTGTTTTTGATTGAACTGTAAGTTAATTAGCATCGGTAATGGTATCAGCACTTTCCATGAATAGAGATCAATTTATGTCCCGTAAAAGCAATAAAGTGACTGTTGTTTATTATTTCTGTGAAAAGTGAAAGGATCTGTACTTTGAATGATCACAAAAACACATGTGTCCAATACATGATTAAATAGGGGAGTGACATATTTTGACATATCGCTACTGTTTGAACAAAACAGATTATTTGAGATCATTTGAAAATGCTTGTTGCTCTTTACATTGTGTGTTAATTTTATGAAGAATGGACCAACAGAAACAACCCAAAATTACTTGGAAAAATTCTGGTTCCATTGACTTACATTAAAAGTAAAGTATCTTTTTTCCTTCTCCTGTAAAATTATCATTGTGGAGATATGAGGCTTTGTTCTGACAGCAGGAATATTTTGAGGGTATTTTTTGTAAACAAGTAAGACTTTTTACCAAACTGTTCTTTTTATTCAACACAAGGTTTTTGCTCTATAAAGTAATATATAGAAACTTTTCCAACTGTGAAGTAAAACAGCTCACCCACCTCGTGATAGGCAAAGTGTAGATACTGGTATGGCGTCCGTCTCTCGAAATCCTCTGTAATTTCTTTCCTCAGAGATCTGAACACAGAGGGTGGGAAGCGAAGTTTGCACCTCTTCACGCAAGACGCACGCAGAAGAATGTGCCAGAATGTCCGAAGCCCCGGGTCAGCGGACTGACCCACAGCAGGGTCACCGTCTAGATCACCATGTCTGCAGCTGTTGCAGCAGAAGGCCACACTTTCCTTCATGAGCCGGTACAGACGGAGGCTCAGCTTCATGTAGGTGACGCTTTCTTTCCAGTTTTCCGCCGCATAGTGGTCAAGGGCTTGACCGTAGGCAAACTCAAGGGTCAGTGGATAATCTTTGGGGCCGTCTCCAGAAAAAACAGCTTGCGGAAGTGCAAACCAGACAACGAGGAACAAAGAAACTCCCACCACACATGGCTGCTTGGTCATCATAGAGCTGGACATTTGGCCGTTGTCATAACAGCATGTTTAAAAATATCCAAACTGAACTGCATTCAGAGTCCTCTAGAATGAAGATGTGGGAGACTGTGTGTGTGTGTGTGTGTGTGTGTGTGTGTGTGCGTGTGTGTGAAAACACTTAAGGGACTTGGGGGCTTCCGAAATATGTGCAGGGGATCGTATGCAAACAGGCAAAAGGAGGGCCGGCGTCTCAAATAGCCCAGCCAGTGGTGCTGATCACTGTGAACACAATCATCTTAACAGTCATTACTGTTTAAAGGAATAGTTTGGAAAAATCCAGGTTTACCCAGATTCCCTCTGACCCCAAATGTAGTCAACAGGCCAAGAGATGTTTGGTGTCCAAAAATTTTCTTCTTTAGTTTTGTTGCATAAGGCTAATGTACCCCTGCTGTAAAAACCAGCATGACTGGTCACCAGCAAAACCAGAATATGTTATGTTTTATACAACAGTTAGTTGTATAAAGCAACAACTTTGACAGCTGTAGGAGCCATTTGAACGTTTTTACTTCTTACTTTGCCACAAACAGAAAATGGATACTTTTAAGATCACATTTGACTCTCAAAATGAGACTACACTAAATTCCCAAACTGTCATCACCACTGAGCAGCTTTTCAGTCGGCAGCTGTGACAGAAGAACAGCTAAACAACCTGGAATCAGCCAGAAATTAACCCAACGCCATTCGCCAAACTAAATGGGCTGTAAAATGCTTTACAGACTGGCTGGGACAAAACAACATTAAAACGGATCTAGTAAAAATGGACAAAACTGAGCTAAACCTGATATTGCGGTAGTTTTATGGCTCAGTCCGTACTTCAAAGGGCGAGGCTTACAGCAGACTGTGCAGCGAGTGGGCGGAGCTCGTTACTCTGACGTAGCAACAAGCTGCAAACTATAATTTGGTGGAAAGAACTGCGAACATTAAAACATATTAAACGCTGTGTTCACAGCCCAGTTTATTAGTTTCGTACTTTATTTATTGAACTGTTGTATAAAAGCAATAGAACACTCGAGGTTGTGTGTTATCATGAATAACATCACAGCTGTGATGATCTATGGCAACCAAATCACAGAATGTTATTTCGCAATAACACACTCCCTCTTGTGTTCTACTGCTTAATTGGATGCTGGTATTCTGGACAGTAGCAATGGGAGCTAATAAACTGGGGTCAGATTCACGAAAACTTTCTTAAGAAAAAACTTGCGAAGGTTCTTAAGACAAACACGAAGAAGTTCATAACAATGTTCTTAAATGCAATTCTCGAAACACTTAAGACGTTCTGAAATTTTCTTTTAAGATGATATTAATTATTGTTTAAAGATTTTTTTAAGAAGATCTTCATTGTTTTCTTATGTAGGCAACGTTGCATTTTACCATGTACCATTAATGACGCAAAGTACATTTTGAATTGGTACTAACTGTTATTTCCATTATTAGGTTAATCTGCTCAGAGGAGCAAAATGGGGGGAAAACATCAAACCAAGTGTTTAAAAAAAATAGCAAACAAGATTTAGAGGTGATGAGGAAAAAACAGCCAACAGGAAAAATCCTTCTTCCAAAATACAGTAGGAGGATGAGCAAGACTAGATAAAGTGATAAATTTAGATGCTGACCTTGTCAAGTCCTCCAGCCTAAGACGAGTGTGAGGCTGAGGTGAGGTTAAGAAAACATTTAAGAACATAACATTTTCAAGAAAAACGCTTATTCTTAGAATTATTCTTAGGAAAGTAGGAAAATAAGATAATTCTTAAGACGTTATTTGAAGAATAATGTTTTCGTAACTTTTTTCTTAAGAATGAAGTTACAAAAAAACACATTTAAGAAGATTTTCTTTCTTAAGACACCTTTGTGAATCCGGCCCCTGGTCACCAGCAAAACCAGCATATCGCTGCTGTCGGAACAAAACCTTGTATCGTTTTTCATTTTTTAACATAATTTGAAAACACCTTTTGCTTTTTACATCGTGTGTAAATTTCATGATGAATGGACCAAAAGAAATGGCCCAAAATGACTTGTGAAAAAGTCTGGTTCCATTGACTTACATAAAAAGTAGAGTATGTTTTTTTCTTCTCCTGTAAAGTTGTCGTTTGGAGATACAAGGTTTTGTTCTGAAGGCGATATGTTGTGTTTTGGATGCTGGTTTGCTGGTCAACCAGCATGATTGTGCTGGGTGACCAGCTAAACCTGCACCAGACCAGCATAAACCAGCTTAGACTAGCATGAAATGCACGCTCATCTATACTGTCTTTCTTTCATTTCTTTCTTCTTGACAGCTACACATCCTTTCAGACCCATAGCGCTGAGTCATCTTCTCACAGTGGAAGGATGGACAGAAACACTGGTGGATTGTTTCAGATCTTAAGCAAGAGTGGATAGATAGACAGACAGACAGACAGACAGATAGACAGGCAGACAGACAGACAAATAGATAGATAGATAGACAGGCAGACAGACAGACAGATAGATAGATAGATAGATAGATAGATAGATAGATAGATAGATAGATAGATGGACAGACGGACAGACCTACAGATAGATAGACAGGCAGACAGACAGACAGACAGATAGATAGATAGATAGATAGATAGATAGATAGATAGATAGATAGGTGGGTGGACAGACGGACGGACGAATGGACGGACAGACAGATAGATAGATAGGCAGGCAGACAGACAGACAGACAGACAGAAAGATAGATAGATAGATAGATAGATAGATAGATAGATAGACAGGCAGCAAGACAGTCAGACAGAGAGATAGATGGACGGCCGGATAGATAGAGAGACAGACAGGCAGGCAGATAGACAGGCAGGCAGATAGATAGATAGATAGATAGATAGATAGATAGATAGATAGATAGATAGATAGATAGATAAATAGGTGGGTGGACAGACGGACGGACGAATGGACGGACAGACAGATAGATAGATAGGCAGGCAGACAGACAGACAGACAGATAGATAGATAGATAGATAGATAGATAGACAGGCAGCAAGACAGTCAGACAGAGAGATAGATCGACGGCGGACAGATAGAGAGATAGACAGGCAGGCAGATAGATAGATAGATAGATAGATAGATAGATAGATAGATATGCAGACAGATTGATAGATATGAATATATAGCCATTTTATGTAGTGAACCTACACGTGTCTTCTGAGTCCTTGTATGTAATGTTGATGATGGTGGTTTACCTCCAGATTCAGTGTCTCAGCCATCAGGCAGCGGAACGTTATTCATACCCATTTCACACAAAATCTTTTAGAGGCATAAAACCTCTGGTTCCTGTCACCACCACTGAGAACAATTCTGTCTCTGTAAGTTTCTACAGAACAGAGCATTTCTTACCCAACCACTCTGAAAGACTTGGTTTGCATCTTAACAACTGACTTATGGAGAAAATTTTAGAAAACTCGGTCGAATTGCCCTTCAACTTCATTCTGCTGTGTTCACTTCAGAGCTTCAGCATTTTATTTATCCAAAACGAAGGAACAGAGCCTAAGTATCTAGTTCCTGTGCTGACAGATGGTGGATGCAGTTCTATAGAGAACTTCTTAGTACTTTTTAACTTTACTTACTATCATTTCACTGAAGAAGCAATACTTTCACTAGACTGTGATTTTAGGCTGGTTTACACACCGCTGTAAAACTGTTCGCCCCCCTTCTCTCTGGAGAAGTTCCACGTTTACACGTAGCTTTAGCTTTAGCCTGGGGTGAAGGGGGAGGGCGACTCAGTCTCACAAAATAGGAATTTCGGCTGCACACGGTTTTTTCCCCACCGAGGGCAGACAGATAGACAGATAACGCCAAGACGACGTTTTTGTCCCTGGTGAATAAGAGACAGACAGCTGTGCGCCCTGTTGTGAAGATGTGGCGTCTGCCGTTAGGTCTGAGGCTGAACTTGGTGCTGCTTTTGTGGGCTTGGGTAGCAGAGAGCAGCCCCGGGCCGGTGGGAGACATTGTCGTGGACAGATATTCAGTCCCGAAAAGGTGTAGAAGAGAAGTTAAAGATGGGGATTTTGTCCGGTATCACTACAACGCCACTTTTACCGACGGGAAGCAGTTTGACTCGAGGTAAGACCTGCCTGCTTTTTCGAATTTTCCGGTCCACCTTAAATGGTGCAGCAGCTACGTTCTCCTCATGCGCCAGAGTGTAACCGCTGCACCATTTAAGGTGGAACGGAAAATTCGAAAAAGAAAGAAACTTCATCTTCGAGATTCTCTTCATAAAATGGTGTCGACTTAATGGCAGACCAGATTAACTCAGAAATCTGTCCGAAAAGGTTTTTCAAACAGGTTGAATCCTCAGTAATGGATCAGGATTTGTTCAAATGTTGGAGAAGATCCAAAAACTGCAGAACCGAGTTCCCTATAGAGCTGTAACGGCAGTGGAACATCTTAATGCATCCATACGTTTCTTATTCATCTCTTTTTGGTCTAAAATGAAATGCTAAAGCTCCCAAGCTGCCGATGTGAACACCAGCAACGAGAAAAGACGCGGAAAGAACAGCTGAATTCTGCTGGAAGGTCAGATGTTCTTCTCCAGAAAGATAATTAGAAAAGATGGCTCAGTGTGTGATTGCATGCCACGTACACACACACACACACACACACACACACACACACACACACTCTGATCATCTGTTTCTGACCTACTAAACCACTTTTACCAACATGCATTTTTAACACTTTATTTGAAGGCACTTTATCTGAGACTTCACAATAGATAAGCATTGAATATCTTTAATAAAGCAGCACTTGAGTATTTATGACCAGCTTATGCCATTAATAAATTGCAAGATGACCATTTGCTTTATGAAGTAAATGACATAAGGGGTCACAAAATGAAGTGGCAGAGATTTGTTCTTTTGATAACATCATTAAGAAGAATCACTGCCAAGTAGGGCTGCTTGATTATGGCAAAAATCATAATCACAATTATTTTGGCCAATATTGAGTTCACGATTATTCAACACAATTACTCTGTATTTGGAAATGTCATGCATTTATTGGAATTATAAAATATAATTTTACTTAAATAGAATTATAGTTTCAAGGAAATCCACTTTTAAAAAAAGACAATTTTTTTTTACATTTTACATATGTCATAAATTAAACAATATATAAATATATATATGTTAAAATAAATAATATAAAAATAATAAATAAGATCAACTGTGTCATTGTGCACTTCCACAACCTACTGAAAACTGCTAAACATATATGAAATTAATAAATAAAAATAAATTAGACTAAAATAAACTAGATCACATACGTTCTATGTGATCTAATTTATTTTGGTCTGAGACAACCTTAAATTCTGGCCCGGCCCAGTATTAAAATAGTACTTCTTCACTTCAATATTACGAACAAAGGTACGTCACTTCAGTTTAAGGCCAGTATAATGTAGTGTATTTGCCAGTTTACGATTACTGGCATAAGCTTTTTATGAACGTTTAAATGTTGCTTTATAAGAGCCATTGATGCTGATACATGTGCTTTGAAGGCCTTTTATAGGTAGCCCTTAATTGAAGTGTTATGCATATGATATTAGTTATTAGAGGTGTAAATGTATCATGAAATCTCAGATTTTATTAAAATGTAAATTTACAATTTATTTTTTTTTTTAAATGCACTGAATACACAACTGGAACTAGGAGAACTGTTCACACAGTAGCGGAATATAGACAGTAAACAATACGCTAAGCTTTTTTTTGGATTTTTACCTTTTAATATACTGATAATTGGATTTTTAACCCAAAAAAAGTGCACCCTAACCAAAATTCATGCACACGCGCCTCTTGCAGTTGCAGCCCGAAACTCATGAGGGAACTGGTGAGAGAAAATGGAGCCTGTTACATTTTGCTTTTTCATTACTTCACTGAAACAGAGATGTTCTTATGTAGGACGATAAACTACATTTGAACAAAGTCTTTTAAATAAAATATGATATATGGACGAATGTTTTAATTAATCAGTGATTTTACACTGTAGAAGTTAACAAAGACGAATTCAAGGACATGAACAACTTGGAGTTGGCTGGTGTGTTTTTTTTTCTGTCCGCAGCCCAAAGGTATGAAACGTGGGTTCTGCTTTTCACATGTTCCCACATAACATTGAGGACCACCAGTGAAAGCTCTAAGGGGGACAGCGATTGGTTGGATGTTAATGAACACAGATGACTGATATTGACTGCAAGTGGTAATCACCAACCTAAATCCTGATCCTTCCAAGTTTAGCTTTATTAACATTTTGGGAAATATTATTTTAATGATGCTGATCATTCAAAAAAAATTAAAGCATTCTTTAAATAAATATTGGCTTAGCTAGACTACATTTCAGTTGGATTTCCCAGGGAATTCCCTCGTGACACCCACATGCGGCCAACTGAAAGGGAAGGGATGCGTTCACGTCCACTGACGAGCTGATGTTGTAATGTAGTAGTGTAAATGCAACAATAGCCACGTTTACATGCAGTCTAATAATCCGTTAATAATCCAACTAGTAGCTCAATCAGAATAGAACACGTCCATGTAAACACCTCAGTTGGAATAGTCTAGTCCGATTGAGGCCATTCGGAATACAGTTTCTATCTGATTGATCGAGGTGGGTAATCCTGTAAATAATCAGTTACATACAAGAATAATATCCATGTAAACGCCTGTATCTGATTACATTCCCTATCGGAAAGTTTAAGTCCTTTCTGATCATGTTCGTCGCGTCATAGTGAAAGTTTATAACATTCAACATGGCGGAGCAGAAACTGGTCTGCAGAGGAGACGAAGTTTATGCTCTGATCTTTAAAAGACGGCGGTGGGACGGACGTCCAGCTTATGAGTCTCAGAACACGACGTCTTCCTCTCGGCCTTCTTTAATAAGGACATGTGAAGGACGTTTTCCTGAGTCTGACATCATTTTACAGTCATTAAAAACAGAAGCACTGCTCACTGCTGCTCATCTCACTCTGATTGGACTTAGTGATGCTCGTTGTCATGGTAACATCTACACTAAGTGGTTCTCCACGCATGCGTGTCATTACCTGTAGTGTGGATGTAAACGAAGATTTTCCCATCAGATTGTTGAGTAGAGTGTATATAAACACTTCGGTCTTAATCTATAATCAGAATGTAATCAATCAGATGTGTGTTAGCTTGTTAGCACATCCGAAGAGGCAGCCTTAGTTGCTCACGGTTCCTCCTCATTCAGCATGTACGCTGGACTACCCTGTATTTGTCAGATTTGTTGGTTAGTCAGATATAAGATGTCAAAAATAATAATAAAAAAATTAATAATAAAATGTACCAAACAGTGCTGATTTTACATTCAGATCACATTGTAAGTCAGTTGAAACAGTTGAAACTCATCATGCTCCTTGTTCCTGCTGTTATTACAGCTATCAGCGGGGGGCACCGTTCTTCGGGGTGGTTGGACAAGGTCGACAGCTTGCAGGAGTGGACAAAGGGATTGTGGGTATGTGCATCAATGAACGCCGGAAGATTACAGTGCCCCCACACCTGGCCTACGGCGGCCAGGGAGCAGGTAACACATCCCTGATCATCTTTAAAGAAACAAAAAAAATCAAATGTTAATTTCCCCCCATTATCTTAGAGTAACAGACCAGCTAAGACGTGTTCAGTGTCTGAAGTTTGCTTCTTTAGTTTTGCGCTGGAGCTACGAGGCTAATTTCCTCCATAATCAGCATTGTGGAAAGTGCATGCCTGAATCATAACTGAGTACTGAGTGTTTATAGTAGTTACAGAATCATTTGTAGTTACTGAATAATTCACAGTAGTATCTGAATAATTAAATATGAGTACTAATTGAATAATCAATAGAAATATTTTATTGTACACTCTTAAAAAATATGGTTCTGTAAGGGTTCTTTAGTAAAGAAAAGGGTTCTGTAAAGAACCATGAACACACTGTTGCATGATTTAAGGGTTCTTTGCGTCCTGAAAGGGTTCTTCAGAATGTGCTGTAGATGGTTCTATATAGAACCTTTTTGAAAAGGATTCTATACGGCACCCAAAAGGGTTCTTCTATTATATTGATGTCAAGCTTGTAACAGTAGAAGAATCCTTTTTGGTGCCATAGGACCCTTTTCAGAAAGGTTCTATATAGAACCGTCTATAGCACATGCTCCATCAATCTGAAGAACGCTTTCATGAAACAAAGAAACTTTTAATCATTGTTTTTGAAAGTTTGCGTTGTTTCATATCCAGACTTGAGAAGCAAATCATTTCTGTGCTCATAATTTTCACAGTATTTTCTTCAATTTTCTCAGGCTAAGTTTGTCACAATGATTGACAGTTGTCTAATCTCTTCCTCCCTCTCTCTCTCTCTGTCTCTCTCTCTTTTTCTCTCTCTCAGGTGACACCATTCCTCCTGACACGACGCTGGTGTTTGACCTGCACCTGCTGGACGTCTTCAACAGAGCAGACAAGGTGCAGACGCGGGTCATCAAAAGCAGCAAAAACTGCTCGCGCTCAGTGATGAGGACAGACTTTGTGCGCTTCCACTTTAATGGCAGCCTGTTGGACGGCAGCGCGTTTGACTCCAGGTGAGTGAAATTGAGCAAACCGGAATGAAAGCGTGGCTGGAGTGATCAAATATGCAAAATAAATATCACTGTAACTCTTGGTTTAGGAACATAGTGTGAATTATTCACATAGTCTGTACTTAACCTTAACCACCAGAAGTCCATGGTTATTATTTTTGTTTTGCTGTACAGTTAATTGAAATTAAATGATGTTAATTTTACATAAATTATATAGTTACATAATCAATTAGGTTTGCATTTACATGCCTACTTCCAAAAAAGCTGGGACAGTATGTGAAACGCAAATAAAAAAACAGAAAGTAGGGATTGACCTGTGTTTAAATGAAAACAGTACAAAGACAAGTTATTTAATATTTTATCTTATCAACTTCACTGTTTTTTGTAAATACATACTCATTCTGAAATTTAAGACTAGGAATGTTGTTAAGTGTCCAAAAAACATTTTTAAAGAGGCGATGTAAACATGCTTGGGTGCATCCAGGAAAGGCAGAGTCCCTTATGAGTGTAATGGGTCGAGGCTCACCACTTTGGCAAAAAATCCAACTGTTTATGAACAACACTCCTCAGTGTATGGTGTAAGCATTTTAGGAATTTCACCCTCTACAGTGAACAATATCATCAAAGGATTTAGGGAATCTAGAAAAATCTCTCTGTGCCTGAAAAGCAAAGCCAAATACCACAACCGAATGCCCATTTGTTGCTGCATCCACAAGTTAAGGCTATACTGTGCACAACAGGAGCCATATATGAACAATGTCCAGAAACGCTGCCGACTTCTCTGGGCTCGAGCTCATCTGAAATGGACTGATGCCCAGTGAAAACGTGTATTGCGATCTGACAAGTCAGTCTTTCAGATTGTTTATGGAAATAATGGATGTTGAGTTCTCTGGGCCAAAGAAGAAAAGGACATCCAGATTGTTACTAGCGTAAAGTTTAAAAGCAGGGGTCTGTCTTGGTATTGGGGATGTATTAGAGGGTGGCTTGCACATCTGTGAAAGCACCAGTAGCTGAGAAAGACATATACAAATTTTGGAGCAAAAATGCTGCTTTTTTAGACTCTTTTTCCGGGACGTCATTCATTCACTTTTAGTTCAGACATAATTTACTAATCACTGCTTTTCTTTTTATTGGCACATAGTCCCAACCTTTTGGGAATTGGGTTTGTAATTTACACCCTGTACATCGACAGCCTTGAGTTTTTTCTGTTTGTTTTGTTGTCAAAAAATGACCAAAATGCTGAAAAATGTGAAGTATAAATGTACATTTTTTTTTCTGCACATCAAAACTGACGATAACTTTTCATTTCACAAATGCGATATGAAAGCTTAAAATCTATGCTTTCCACACTTTTTTAAAAGGGCTAAAGGTGAGAAATGATTTATATATATATATATATATATATATATATATATCTACAAATGCTTTTGTTGTCACTTCTGATGAATGTAAATTTCTAAGGGTTAATTTAGAGGTGCTTCACTGCATGCAAGTAAAAGCTCAGCATGTGTATATGTGTGTGTGCCGTTGTGCAGGCATGTGTGTGTTGACTTTGCGCTTGTATGAGCCCCGCGCAGCTACGAGCGCTCACAGACACAGGACAGTGTTGTGGGGGAAGGCTGGCTGATTAAAGGTCTGGAGGAGGGGCTGCTGGGGATGTGTGTGGGAGAAATCAGAAACTTCATCATCCCCCCGTTCCTCGCATTCGGAGAGAAAGGATACGGTAAACACTTCCCCGCAGCTGTACGCAAACACTGTAAACAAGCCATACAAACCTGCAATTTTACTGGAAGCAGCAGCCTGCTAGTGGGTAACGAGTTACAAGCAGGGGTGGATGATATAAGTGCAAATTTACCTTTCAGTATTTTCCACTGTTCAAATGATATATCACAAAAAAATAGGAATGTCAGACAATTAAAATAATACATTATTTATTGCACACATTTAACCCTGAAGAGGAATTTCCATTTAAAAGCAGTGCATTTCGTTATAGCTGAACTTTTATTGTTCAGTTAGAGCATCAGTGGCTGCATGTTCCAAAAAATAAGTATTTATCATATATACGGTTGGTGTTATTTGAACAAGAGGGCTTCAATCACAGCGTCGTGCTGACAATACAGCACCAGCAGCTGGGCTTCATCCTGCATTACTACTGATGGTCCAAAGCAGGAGTCGGCAACCCAAATGTTAAGAAGAGCCATTTTGTCCTTTCAACAAAAGTTAAACCACCACACTTTAAACCATCACATTTTATATCCATTTTACCATCCTGGCTGTAAACATGTCTCAGTATGTGCTAATGTACTAGTACAGGCTAAAAAATCAAATTAAAACGCAGACTTACTTTGCTCTGCCTTAAGCTTTAGCTCAGCTATAGCTGCGTTTCTCGCATCTCTGGCAGGAAACTTTTCCGCAAAAGTGAAATAGTTTCTTGTAAAACGTCTCTCAACATGCGACTTTTTACGAGGCTGAAGTCGCTTCTCATTCACCAGCTTCTTGTTAGAATTTTCCCGTTCCACCTTAAATGATGCCTGAGGTGCCAGAGTGTAACTGCTGCACATTTAAGGTGGAACAGAAAATTCAAATAAGAAGCTGACTTCAGCTTCGTGACTTGTTTGACCGTTTCTCGTTGCAGATTAAACATATCAGGAAACCAGCTGGAGTGATTATGAACACAAACAAGTCAGTTTGTTTCTGAATTATCAATGTTCGTCTTAAATCTTTGTCTTTTCGTTAGCTACTAGCTAGGCGAGATGTTATCTGTGTTGCTATAGTGACCAGCAGTCTGCACGCCAATCTTCAGGGTTATAGGGTGAATTAGCAGATACAGCCTACATTAACTTAATGGTTTAAAACCAATTTAAAAGCAGAGCTTTATTTTACTGCAAAGGAGGATTATTTTATTTTTACCTAAAAATCTAATTCTGCTACGGAGAATTACAGGGCAGGAAAGAGCTGCATGTTGACGACCTCTGGTCAGTAGTGATGGGGAGTCAATGCCAAAAGAACTGGTTCTACCCTTGGCCAGTGACTCTGAGAGTCTAAATGTTTGGAGTTGGCATCTTATTTGCCACCTTCTTATTCAAATTTTCCAATCCACATTCTGCTGAAATAACTGGCGCATCATTTAAGGTGGAACAGATGAAGTTGAATGAGAAGGGATGCACTGCATTAAAAGATTGGGCTTCCTAGCAGTGCATGTTTAAAGACATTTCAAGCAGCCTGACCCCAATAATCCACCCCAAAGCTGGTAGTTTTTCAAAAGTTCCTCCCACCTTCGAGATACATCATCCAAAGGAGGTTTTCCTAGACTTCAATCCAGAATATCACACCCTTGGAACCACTGCGGCACAGCTGTGAGCATGTTTAAAACAGATGTTAGGATGGTTACACTGTTCTTTTTCTGCAAAGTGTCTCTTTAAGTATTTGAGGCCCAGCAGGATTGCTGTGGCCGACACTGTAGCTAAAGGGTTAAAATCTCTCTCTCCCTCTCATTTAGGTAAAGAAATCCCTCCTCATGCCACAGTAGTGTATGACATCCTGCTCGAGGACCTGCACAACACTAAGGACGACATCACTGTGGAAATCCAGGAAGTGCCAGAGCCCTGCACTCGGAAATCCGTCACTGGAGACTACATCCGCTACCACTACAACGGCACCTTCCTCAACGGGGTCACCTTCGACACCAGGTTAGTCACCAGAGCCCCTCTTTAATCAGACAGCCTGCTCCAGTGGCATCTGTACAGCCCTCTTCTGAACACTTTCTCGTCATTATCTTCTATAAATTATTGCTGATCCGTATCTTCACGGCATTCAGTGGTGGGAGACTGAATTTGCGGGAAGTGGGTTAATATTTTATCAAAACAAGCCTTGAAATTAATACTTATTAATTATATAATTATACTAATTAATGTTTTGACAAACGACTTGATTAAGATTTTCAGATGTGTTCAAGCTCAAGTAATTGAAAGAATGAGGACAGTATTTAGGGTAAATTCTCCCTTGATTTTAGAGCTAAAAGCACCCACCTCCCCTTTAGCTAACAGTAGAAGTTCTGTAGAGTCAGATTAAACCTCATAGATCACACCATACATTTGTGATGTAATTATTTCTTTAAATATAGACTCTCTGTCCACTGGTGTGCCAGCTGATATAGCTGCCTTTTAGCTGTGGGGACTGTTGGCATTTATTTATTTATTTATTTAGACATCACAGGGAATCCAAGCATGCAAATGCTGCTTATGGGTAAGTTGGTAAATACATGGGACACCATCCTCAGCCAAGCAGTGACTCTGACGTGTAAAAGCTGTGTCTGATACACTCACACCAGTGCAACATGCAGCGCATACTACCATGTCAATGTCACTGCTCTGCTGAGACTGATCCACCAACCAGATAATATCTGGACAATAGTGGTCTGTTGGTCAGAAACTGACCAGTGATTAGAGGAGTAGAGGGGATCGACTGTTTAGTAACAGAAGAGTGGTGAGTGTGTATTATCAGCAGCAGCAGTGCCCTCTAGAGGCGGAAGTACTTTTGGTGTTTATTTTGTAACTACAAATTGGATGTTCTTGTTGTTTTCTTTGACCATTTTACAGCTACCAGCGTAACAGCACATACAACACATACATCGGGCTGGGCTATGTGATCTCGGGTATGGATAAGGGTCTGCAGGGTGTGTGTGTGGGGGAGAGGAGGAGGATCACCATACCCCCTCATCTAGCATACGGACAACAAGGAGCAGGTACAGCAGCTTTATACATTCAAGTCAGTGTCTAAATGCTTTGCTGATAACTCATATTATACTCTATCAATAATTAAACACAGTGTAACCTTTTTAATGAAGTTGTGTGTAAATTTTGACTGGCCTTTTAGTGCAAATGTGTAAAAAATGACCTTTTCTTATGCCACAACTAAGAAGATAAAGACGGTGTTTCAGTCACGCATGCTTGAAACCAACGATTTAAAAAAGATCTATAAAGGAAAAAACACTTTTCAGTAGATACTATAAATTATTCATAAACTACCACTAATTATACAGTAACAATAATTTACTTAATATCTACTATGAAAAACAAAGTCAGTGTTCGTGTTTAAGGAGTAAACTACTTTATTTAGTTAAAGCTGCACCACTTCGGGCCACATATAAAGCTTTCATCAGATGTACAGATTTAACCCTCTACTGCATGAAATATTACTTAAACGTGATAAAATGTTTTAATGTGATTTTTGTTATTTGAAATTGCTTAAATATTGGAAATTTTTGAAAAAACAAATTTTATTTAAAAAAAATAGTGGGTTACTTTGTAAATTGTTGCCGTTTGGCACCATAAAACCTAAAAAAAATGCACCATAAAATTTAACTTTTCTCTAAAAACATCCTTTTACTGAAAACAAGAACAAACAAATCCAACTTATATATAGTCAAATGTACGACCCAATATTTGCAAATATTGGAAATTAATACAGTTCCAACTGGTATTTGGAATGTATGGTAATAACAGCATCATAATAAAAAATCCTGGTCATGTGATGTCATGAAGTATTTGTCCTTTCAAAGTAAAAGACTCTTTTTCCACAATTAAATAGGAAAACACAGATTTTATATTACAGATTTTTAGTAAAATTAAGATAAAGTAATGTTGCCGTGTGGCAACACCGAGCAGTAGAGTGTTAAACAATTGAAGCTCAGACTTGTGGAAAAAAGTGTGGTGCCCTTAATAAGGCAGCAGTTCAGTTTTCTCACATACTCCATCTAGTGGCCTAAGATAAGGATGCAGCCAAGGAGCATTTCTCAGCCATTACGTTTGGGAGAAATGGAAGGACGAAGCTGGTGTATCCTTTGAGACACCAGTCTCCCACAATCCTTTACACACAGCTCAAAACAACAAAAACGGCAGAAACTGCCATGAGCGGCGAGACGCTGCGGCACTGGGGTTTCTGATGAAATTTAATGATGTAAATTTTGCTTTAATGTGACGTTGCACTTAAGAGGAGCCTTCATATACAAGTGTTAGGAAGGTTTTTCCTTTCTCAGCCACATCCTCAGCTTTGAGACACGGATAAAGACTCACAGGAAGTACATCCCATTATTGACTATTGACAGTTCATCATAACACAGAGGAAATTACTTAAATCTTAAATAAAAGCCATCAAAAGAACATGATGTAATCTGTTTACAAGTTAAGTCTTCTCCACACCCAGTAGCATTAACTTGTTACTAAAACAGATGGAGCAGGCAACGTCCAGGTTCTGTCTACATGTCGTCGCTGTTTCTCCATTTTTGATGCTTTTTAATAGTTTTACAGAATTTGAACACGGCGGCTGCAGTTCACATTCACATGGTGTCAAAAATGTTTACAATGAATGGACCAAAGAAATGGTCTAAAATCACTTAGAATTAAGTGGAATAAGCATGTTTACATTAGCTTGCATTATTAGTAAAAAATGTTTTTGGAGATAAAGGCTTTTGTTCTGACAGCGATGATTTTAACAAATCTCATGGGAAAAGAATAGCAAAGTTATTGAGCTCTAAATCAGCCGGTCAGTTCTGTAATGTGAAAAATATCTGAATTTGTGTATTGACAGTAACACTGCTGCCAAATTTGCCCTTCAAATACTTACCTTTTCAACTCCTTGAGACCACCGATGCTTCGTCATATTCTTCATAACTTTCATATTTCATAAGCTACATTCAAAAGGTTGGTGTCATATGAGGCTGTAACTGTCTTCTCTCCAGTCAAATAGATGGGTGATGTCATTTTAAACACTTATAATAAAAGAAGCTGAACTCACAGTTTTTTTTGTCTACTGAAAGTCGACCCACTTTTCCACAAATCTGGGCTGTAAACTATAAACAGATGGCGTCTCTTCAGTGATCTGCTCTGTAAACATTATTTTAATAAAATAATACAAAGAGCGTCTAAGATTTTTGGCTTTCAGCAGTAAATTGTAAGCATATAGCAATATGTGTGATCATAAAACACATGTTCTATTAATTTGAGGGGAGCTTTTAAAATAAATAAATAAACAAAATACAAATTTACATTTATTTCATGCAGTTACTGAATAATTTGCCTTACGATTTGGTGATGTGAATTCAGATGGAAAACCCAAATATACCCTGGTCAATAAGAGGTTAATGAAATCTGTGAGAATGAGATCCTAAGGCATGGCCACGAGTTAATAAGGGCATGGGAATGAGATGATTAGGCCTTGACCACAGCTTAACAGGGCATGATTTCGTCCCCACGCTTTACTAAGTCATGGCCACCACTTAATTACCTCGATCTCATGCCTTACTAAGTCGTGGACACACATTAGGATCTTGTTCCCACGACTTAATTATCTTGTTCCTATGCCTTACCAAGCCGTGGCTTTATTTTTATTCAAACTGGGTGTTGCCAGCAGGGCTCCGTACCAAACAGCTAACCCTGTGTAAGGTCAGCTGGCTAACTCGCCAAACAATAAGCTGTAAAAACACACAAGCAAAGACAGGTTTATCATCTAATCCATCCTCTCAACTAAGTACCACACTGCTTCTCTTTTATTGGTTAATTTGTAGCAAATTTTGTGCTTTGACACTGATAAAATGAACACATGCTTCTTTTTAGATCTTCGGTGCTGCTATACAAAGCACCTTCAAAGGTCAACACAACAAAAGATCTTGTCTGGTTGTTGTGCTGATGGTCGAGAGTGCAAATGCGTCATACATCACCAAACCTTGACTAAAAGTTTTGAAATTTATTCTTTGTGAAGCTAAATTTGTAATGCGAGAACATTCTTCGCAGCAAATTCCATTGAAATGAATCTAATTTCGTTGATAAAAGCTTTTGTGACTGGACCTCAACTCATATTGCAAAAACCTAACAGTATATAACAAAGTATGAGGGCGATTTCTTTCTCAAAGCTGTGATTTTGTACTGTCTCAGGTAAGGACATCCCAGGTTCTGCTGTCGTGGTGTTCGATGTCCACGTGATCGACTTCCACAACCCGAAAGATCCAGTGCAGGTGGACGTCACGTTCAAACCAGAGCCGTGTAACGAGACCAGCGAGGTTAACGACTTCATCCAGTACCACTACAACTGCTCTCTACTGGACGGCACCCTGCTCTTCACATCGTGAGTGATGACCACTGAGTTTATTTGGACACAGATTCCCACAGACACACTTCAAAATATTGTGGAAGCCTTCCCAGAAAAGTTAAAGCTGAAATCGCTGGACCATTATCCCCCCTCCACCAAACTTTACTGCTAGCACTATGCATTCCAGTAGGTAGTGTTCTGGCATCTACCAAAACCTGATACGTCCATCAGACTCCCTGATGGAGAAGCATGATTCATCTCACCAGAGAACACGTTTTCCCTGCTCCAGAGTCCAGCAGTGGCATGCTTTACACCACTCCAGTGGACACTTGGTATTGCACATAGTGATCTTAGGCTTCTTTGAAGCCTCTCCATTTCATGAAGCTCCTAGTGTGCAGTGCTGATGTTGCTGCCACAGGCGGTTTGAACTCTGTAATGAGTGATACAACAGAAGATGCAACTTTTAAGCGCTACAGCAGCCTAACTAACAGTTACAGTTATCACCCCTACACTTCCTGCAGTGCTTTGCATTCTGTAATGACCACACGGATCACATAAACATTATAGAGCGCTTTTGTTTTTAAGTGAACAATGCAATAACTTTTTTCGACATCAGCAGACTTCAGCTAATCACTGCAGCCATGTCTTTCAGCAGATCTCCAATTTTGTGTTTGTGTTTCTGATGTGTGACTGTCACAGGAGTGATTACGGCGTTCCACAAGACGTGGTGCTGGGGGCGGATAAAGTGATTGACGGGCTGGATGAGGGTCTGAGGGGCATGTGTGTGGGCGAGCGAAGGACCATCATAGTGCCACCGCATCTTGGTCACGGAGAGAGAGGAGGTGAGAGACCAGTGTGTATGTGTGGGTTACGTAACAGCGCCATCTGACTCCCTCTGGCTTTAACAGGCCGATGAGAGATGGTGTTTATATCTGTCACACGTTGGTCTAAATCTAAAGCCTGTTGGCGAAAGAGCTCTGATCTAAGATCAGCTCCACTCTGTCCATTAGAACTGGATTTATGATGTAAAGAGATGCTAATTTATTTTATTTAGTGTGTTCACACTTTGCTTCCACACATTGTTTTCAGGAGACTTGCTTTCAGTTTTTCAAAGAAATCTGCGGGGATATTTTTCCACACCTCTAAAGTTCAGTCTTGAAGTTGGTTGTATTTTCTGCTCAATCCAAGTAATCAAACGCATTCAGTGATGTTGAGGTCTGGGCTCTGGGGTGGTCAGTCCATTGTTTTGAGAACACCAGCAGCTTCTTTAATTTGCAAATGTTCCTCTTTTTTATCAATTTCCTTTTCTCAGTGAGGTTCTTCTTGTCAGCTACACATTCTTTCAGACCCTATAGTGTTGAGTTGTCTTCTCACAGTGGAAGGATGGATGGATTTTTTCAGACCTGAAGCAGATTAAGTGCTGTTTATTGGCTGGGGACAGTTTTGGTGGTCTACCAGGTCTGGTGGGTGGTTGTTAGGAGTCTGAGTTTGTCTATATCATTTAATAATTTTGGAACTCCTGTTTTGGAAACTCCTTTCTCCTTCTTACGTAAGTCCAGAGAGGCCATGAGGTAGTTATCATTTTATGGATTGTTATTTTGAGATAACGAGTTAATTATCTTGTTATCGCAAGATAACAAAATTGTTACCTTGAAATAACAAGTTACTTGTCTTGTTATCTCGAGATAAGATAAGTTATGTTAAGATAACGAGTTCATTATCTTGTGATCTTGTCTTGTTATCTCAAGATATTAACTAATTGTTAGCTTGAAATATCGAGTTACTTATCTTGTTATTTCAAGATAACAATCCAGAAAATTATCGCAACAGCTCATGGCCTCTCCGGACTTCTGTACCTTCTTTATGCAGGTGGATTATCTTATCTAACCTCCCCATAAATATCTACTGAAAAATTAATAACTGTTAGATTAAAGAGGATAGTTTGGCAAAACTATTTTTTTTTACAAATGTATTTTTTTGATAACTAATTGCAGTTGACTAGCCTAGACTTGTCTAGTGTCTATAGTTTGCTTCTTTAGTTAGCACTGGAACTACAAGGCTAATGTAGCTAACAAAGTAAGTTGCATGGTGCTGCTGTCAGAACGAAACCTCGTATCTCCGATTTTGTCAGTTTTCAGTTTTTGACGTAATTTGAAAATGCCTGTTGTCCTTTACATTGTTTGAAAATTTCATGGTGAATGGACCAAAAGAAACGACCCAAAATGACTTGGAAAGACGTCTGGTTCCATTGACTTACATTAAAAGTGAAGTACGTTTTTTCCTTCTCCTGTAAAGTTACTGTTTTGGAGATACGAGGTTTTGTTCCGACAGCAGAGATAGCTTAAAACAGTACTAGTAGCCACCTTGAGACTTGAATTCCTCCATGCTTTGGTCATACAGTGTCAGAAACCACATAGTATAGTTAAGATCACTTACCAACTCACCATAAATGCAACTTGTGTGATGCTGAATGTTTCCATGACTTCTTAACTACATCCCTGTAACGTGTAGCTAAGACCCCTTTGCTAAAACATTGCTTTTAGAGCTAAATTCCATTCCAAGCAGTCCTTTTTCTTAAACATGGGCCAACAGTTAAGATCACAGTCATACCCACCCTTAACGCTCCTCTCTCTGTTCTGTCTCAGGGGGAGATGTTCCGGGCAGTGCTGTGCTGCAGTTCGAGGTAGAACTGGTGTCCATACAGAAGGGCGTTCCTGAGGGCTATCTGTTCGTATGGCTGAAGGACAATCCAGCTGAGCTCTTCCAGGCTATGGACATGAACCAGGACAAAGAGGTCCCCCTGGAGGAGGTGCAGTCAGCAGCTTATGACCATTCTGCTCAGCTATAGCTGAGTGTTAGCTGTGGTGAACGTACACTTTTCATCCAAAGTTTAAGGACTTCTATCTTGTTTTTAAGACACATTAACATGTTTTCTTTGTTTGTCAAGCTTATTTAGAGGACAACAATATTGCACCTGTATTTGCGGCAGTATTAGCGACTCTGCTACCTTGGGAAAGCTACCTGTTTTACCCCCCTGTTGTAATGTCAGCATTCAGCAGCACTTATTAGGGTCAGTATGTGCTTTTAACAATAGTTTGGAAAAGAAAATTATTATTTAAGCAAAACCTGGTCTTCATATCAAGGTAGATACTTTGATGAACATGAAGATGGTTGTAGATACCGAAAGGATTAGTGAATAGAAACAGCGAATGGAAACATAATAATTCAAGATAATTTGAGGAGGCACTGGCAATGAAACAACACGGCAGTGATCAAAATCAAATGTTTTCAATTCTCATAACACAAATTTACTGTATTTTTTATGCGTTTCCTCCTTTATAACATCTCTGGAGGGAGAAGAAGTCTAGCTGTTCACTCACAACAGCACGAACCAGCAGGATGGTTAGCAGAGCTAGCTAATCTTAGCTGTTTTCATATATATTTTTATGTTGGCGATGTTTAATGTTCCTATTTTTATGTCATTTTTTGTTTTTTTCTCCCCAGTTCTCAGAGTTCATCAAGCAGCAGGTTGCAGAGGGCAAGGGGCGTCTAAAGCCGGCTCAAGACCCCGAGGTCGTCATCGGCGACATGTTTAAAAACCAGGACCGGAATAAAGACGGCCGCATCACCACAGAAGAGCTGAAGCTAAAAGTGGAGGAAGACGCAGAGAAAGAAAACCAGCACGATGAGCTCTGAGAGAGAGACATTCGGAGAATGAAAGTAACTCAAACAGGCATTTAAATACACACAACTGCAGGCAAAAGGTGACCGAGTGAAATTATTAATAAAAAAAACTGAAGAATAAATGATTCCAGTCAGTCATAGAGAACAACTCTCAGAGAACTAAAAGAACTCAGGTTTTGCAATTTTTGCTGCGGTAAAAAAGAACCTTCACACCAAAGTGTATTTGCACTGTAAGCTTTTATTATTATTTTTGAAACAAGAAAATAATGTGCCCTTTTCTGTATTTCATTCATGTGGGAAGGATATGATATTTGTATGTTGCTGGATTTGGTTATTCTTACTAATGGTATATTTTGTCTTTTTTGATAATGGTGATTGAGTATGATGACATGTGGAAACAATTTTTGTATGAAATGCAATTTTCTTCTGCTGTTTCAACCAGTAAAACGTTTTAAAATATAAACAGTTCAGACATTAAGTTTGTTTAGATATATACCAGTTCTTAGAATCTCTGTATTCAAAGGGATCCTGGTCAAACGGTTTAATTCTCATTTTACAAAATAACTCAAATAACTGACCTGTCCCAATTTATGCTCCACCCACAAAATAGCTTCTTTTGGGAATTTAAAAAAACGGAAACACAGCTCAGATTTTGTCAAAATACATAAATTCAGAGCGTTATTATATAGATCAAGTGTAGGTTATTGTTGTGTAATTGAGTGAACTTTAGCATAGCGGCAAATTGGTTGTTGTTTCTAAGCTGCCTAGTTTATTTTGCTCCAAAAACATTTCAGCGTAGCATTTTAAACCTGAAATGAAATGTTATGTAACGACTCTAAACAAACACTGCAGAGGTCCAGTGTCACAAATCTACCTTGTATTGCAAAAGTATTCAGCCCCCTTAAAAGTCATTAGATTTGTCTGGATTACACGACACTTAAGATAGTATAGTGTATACTTCTACTCCAGTGGTCGGCATCCCAAACGTTAAGAAGAGCCATTTTGTCCTTTCAACAAAAATCAAACCACCTTGGGAGCCACATTTTATATCCATTTTACCATCCTGGCTGTAAACATGTCTCAGTGTGTGCTGATGTTCTAGTATAGGCTAAAAAATATAAACAAAAACACAGACTTACTTTGCTCAGCTTTAAGCTTCAGCTCAGCTACAGCTGCTTTTCTCACATCTCCGGCAGGAAACTTTTCCGCAAAAGTAGATCAGTTTCTTGTAAAATGTCTCAACATTCGACTTTTTACGAGGCTGAAGTCGCTTCTTAATCACCAGCTTCTTGTTTGAATTTCCTGTTCCACCTTAAATGGTGCCTGAGGCACCAGAATGTAACTGCCGCACCATTTAAGGTGGAACGGGAGAATTCGAACAAGAAACTGACTTCAATCTCGTGACTTTTTAGTGTTTGGCAGTTTCTTGTTGCAGATTAAACGCATCAGGAAACCAGCTGGAGTGATTAATAAGGCAAATAAGTCCGTTTGTCTCCAAATTTTAATGTTCGTCTTAAACCTCTCTTTGCCGTTTTGTTAGCTACTAGCTAGGCGAGCTTGTTGTCGTTGCTATGGTAACCAGCAGTCCACGCGCCAACCTTCAGTGTTAAAGGGTGTATTAGCAGTTGTACATTAAATGGTCTGGAGTTATTGTTAAAACTGGGTTGAACAATCAGCAGAGCTTTATTTTACTGCAAAGGAGGATTATTTTATTTTTACCTAAAGGTCGAATTCTGCTGTGGAGCTGCAACAGGCCAAAAGTAGATGCTGGAGGTGATTTCACAAAAGAACTGCACAGTAAACATCATTTTAGTTCAGTGAAAATTTTAATCAACACTATTACAATTTTGACAATATGCAAAAATACAGACAAAACTCCCACTAGTGTTTCAGCTTTACAGTCTATTATTAATAACAGTGTCATAAACCAGATGAGCAAGTCTTAGATGACTGAACAGCTCTAGTTTGAGGACACAGTTTACACAATGCTAACTGGTGAAGTATAATCTCCTTTATGTTGCATAGCTAAGAGTAGGAGCAGCCGTCATGAGGCCGGAATTTTGTCCATACTTCTTGACTGCTTTCCAATACTGACACCAAACATGTCTGTGGGCAACTGACTACACTTGGAGGACAAACTGAAAATTAAATTAGCCACAAAAACATCAACGTGCCATATTATAATAAGAGCTTCACCTTCCACTCATAAAGAATACAGACTGTGGTGCAGGCTTGAGAGACATCAACCAAAAGACAGCAACATGGGAGCTCAATTTTAGACAGAAGTAACATAAATCTACTTTTTTTTTGTGCTTCTCCCAGCCGCTTAAAACATCTGCTCGGGCCAAAACGTGTTGTGCAGGTTTCAAAACAAATGCAAATAAAGATAAAATGCCCTAAAATATAATGATGACAATCAGACTGAAACAGATAAATATGCCTATAGATCTTCACCAACATAAACCAGCTGTGAAAAATTATACAGTATCCCATTTATGCATTGAGGCGGTCTCTTATATTCCTGTTTGCATCGATGGAGCACCAGTAATGGTCAGTACATTCAGTGCAAGTCCAAAAGAATCAGCTCCAGGTGTAAAAGTGAAGAGGCTCCAGACTCTGTTGCCGATCTCCCAAAAGCCCATTCTAATATAATGAACACAACAGAATCAGGTCCCCAAAAAACCCAAAACTATAGCTTACAAGTAATAACGGACCACAAGAGTGTGGTTATTAAAATTGTCGTATGGTTCTGGTCCTTCAGCAGAGGCGTCTTCAACACCTTCTATTAAAAAGACAAAGAAAAAAGGGGGGGGACAGGTGATACAAATAACAAAAATATTATGGGCGGAGCTTTAAAAATGTTTCTTTTTAAGTCATGTGATGTACCTTTCAATGTAAACATTCTGCATATGTGGGTATGTAATTTGCTAAAATACTTTAAAACTATTTAAAACTAGAACTCTGTCCTTGAATGACAAAATATAGAAACTCTTGTTGACCTCAACCGTTAGAGAGGTGCTGATTAAAATCACCCTATAAAGAATATTTTTTTTTATGGCTTTTCTTCTCTGTGTAGATCACAGAATGCAATCTGTGATGCACCACTGGACTCTAACTATCAGTGTGGTTGGGTTAGACAGTTGATCCAGCTGATATTACTGCCTATTAATCCAGGCTAAACTGGGATTTTTGTGTGACGTGTACTCATTAAAAACAATTCCAGCCTGAAGGTTGCCATGGTGACGTAGTAAACAGCCCAGTGCCAGCAGCTGGCTCCTGTCCATAAGGTTAGCAATACTGGTCTCTGATTGGCCAGGCTGGTCCACATGACCTCAATCCCAGATGATGTGGTCAACAGTATGAAGCTTCATTTTCCCTCAGTGATGTAGTTGAGGATGGCATTGGGAACGTCCAGCGTTTCATCTTTCACCAGCACGATGTCATAAGAGCCGACGTACGCATCCCTCCTCTCCTCAACCTTCAACAAGACAAGTAAAAGAAAGCAATTAAAATTTTAAAGGAATACTTATTTAAACTGAATTCAAATCAAGAATTAAGCGATAGAAATAAAAAAAAAAACTACACCAGAGCTACAAGGCTAATGTACAGGGAGATTCACTTGAAAGAGGCCCCGAATATACAAGCTGTATGGCTTTCTCACCCTCTCTGACACAAATGGAAGCTGTCCTATGTTCTGTAACTACAAAATCCCTGTGGTTTTAAATAATGGCTGTTTATTGTTTTAGCTATTCAATACACTTGTTGGCTACGTTAGCCACGTAGCTCCAGTGCAATAAAAAAACAGAAGCAAACTAACATCATGTCATGATGTCAGACTCTGCATGTAAACACAGCCACTGAGGTAACCAACGTTACCTTATCTTACCTTATCACTGAGGAAACCGATGTTACCTTATCTTACCTTATCACTGAGGAAACTGACGTTACCTTATCTTACCTTATCACTGAGGTAACTGACGTTACCTTATCTTACCTTATCACTGAGGAAACTGACGTTACCTTATCTTACCTTATCACTGAGGAAACTGACGTTACCTTATCTTACCTTATCACTGAGGAAACCGATGTTACCTTATCTTAACTTATCATTGAGGTAACCGATGTTACCTTATCTTACCTTATCACTGAGGTAACCGATGTTACCTTATCTTACCTTATCATTGAGGTAACCGATGCGAAGAATGTTCTGGACGTTTTGGACTCCGTCGGCCATCGTCAGGTCGCCCATAGAGTCTCCCAGCAGCAGAATGTTGGGGCGGTCCTGAAGCTGCTCAAACTGATCTGGGTTCAGTAAGGCACCCTCCCTTTTATTGAACGTGTGGATCAACTGCCCTTTAAACGAGCATAAAACACCCTGAAAGAGGAGAGTGAGTGTTTTCATTTATTCAATCCGTTTTTGCATCATACAACACTTTTACAGATGCAAACTAATGACAGTGTGTGCATCCATCATGTAAATAAAGTGCTTAATGCTTTCACAGCCTAAATCAGGAATCACTGCACTGTTTTGTAGCTACAATTCTAGCAAAAATTTGAATTTACACAGTTTCCTCCCTAAATGTAGTTCACATTTTGGGTGTCGGAAATTTGCCTCTTTAATTCTGTAATGGACTTACAAGGCTAATATAGCCAACACATAATGCCAGATTACATCTCCCCAGTTAGCACAGTGCTAGCTTCAAGCCTTATCACACATACATTTGCCTCAGATTTAGTTGCCTTGGTATGTAATTCCAAACAAACTTGATCCATTTTAATATTAAATCAAAAGACAACTAACCTTGCAGAAGAATGTTAACTAGCTAAGTTAGCTTAGCTGTTGACAGTGCTGACAGCTTCATAAATTAGCCAGATCAAACAGGATTAAACCGCTCACATTTGTGAGTAAAACATTTTGTTTGCAGATAAATATTATGAGGACAAAGATAATCTATATAGAGGGAATTTAAATGCTCGCTTATGCAGTCCATTCATGCAATGCGGTGCATTACACGTTAGCTATATTAGCCTTAAAGTTCCAGTGCAAAATGAGCGACGCAAACTGCAGACACCAAACATGTCCTGACTCATTACACACTAAAAAAAAGACGGTTCTTCAAAGGTTCTTCAGTGAAGAAAATATTTCTATATAGAACCATTAAGTTCTACAGCACATTATTAAGAACACTTTTATGATGCAAAAAACCTTTAATTATGCAAAGGGTTCTCGGAGTGTTCATGCTTCTATATAGAAATATTTTCTTGACTAAAAAATCCTTGAAGAACCATCATTTTTTGAGAGTGTACATTTGTGGTAAAGGACAACTGGGTGTATGTTTTGTTTTATGACAGCAGCCTAACGTCCATTTATGGTTCTAATTCTGTTCCTGAATGAAGAACTGAAAAAGAGACACACTCACGTTTTCGTCAAACTCCATGTAGTTGGAGAAGACTCGTATGTTGGGGTGGAACACACCGTTGTGTTTGATCACCTCTTCCAGGATATCTCCCAGTCCAGCCGAAAAGATGAGCAGAGGGATGGAGTGATCCTTCAATGAGCCAAAGAAAACCTCATACCCGTCCCTGCACACATCCACACAGAGTCACCATTACAATCCTACATGGACATCACACAGTGCAATGTTACTAAGGGTGTAAAAAAAAATACACACATCTTAATGCAGCAATCTGAGGATAGAGAAATCCAGGGGCCTCATTTATAAAAGATTCATCTGCACAAATTTAATCTAAAAAATCCATGTTCAAGCAGTGTTTTATTAAAAGGAATTTTGGCGTTAAAGAGTGCACAGATTAACACGTTTCCAACCTGACGTACAAATTTTAGCAGTCAGTCTCTGTGACAGGGTCAGTTAGACATGGGGGCAAAACAAATTACTGAATCAACTTCACTCATCCACTAGATTTACCCCATATGAAATCTGGCCTACATCAGTAAAACCATGCAGGGACTCATTTGGAGTGAAAAAAAAAAAAAACATTAATAGATACTTCATGTCATGTAGTTCTCCTGAAGAGAGACTTTCACAAAGATTAGAAACTCATGATAAACATCAGTGGTGTTAACTTATTACTGATGTAAATTAAGCTACATTTTACACTTTTCCTCCATGTGGGTCTGTATTTCTGTTGGATTGTTATATGTTTAAAATCAAGTCGGGATAAAAAGCTTAATTTTGCCACAGAACATGAACTAAACTGAGACTGTGGCACTTGGCTGTATCAGAAGACCCACACGCCCCTCCACCGTGCCTGCCAGTGCCCCAAGAGATCATGGTTCGTGAACATAAACTTCTCTTAGATTTAATGTTCAATATTTCCATTGCAAATCATGCAAAATTCAAATAACTCAAAACTTAATTCACACAGATTTATCTTTTTTCTTTTAAACATTAGACAAGCTACAAATACTATTCTATTACTATACTATTCATTCATTCATTCATTCATTCATTTATTCATTTATTTATTTATTAAGAGGTAGTTTAGTTAGTAAGATGTTTTTCTGAAAATAAGTGAAAATAAGTAAAGTAATAAAATACATAAACTTGTCTAAACTAACAAAATTCTGGTAGTTTGGTTGGTTCAAATTGTTACAGCACCATAAATGACAGAACAAAAACCCCAAAATTATAGTTCATTTTTTTAAACCCTGGTTTCATTCATTCACTTTTTCCTTGGGCCAACAAATGATTTCAGCTTCAAAGCCCAACAACCATAAGTGACCATCAAAAACCAAGGAAAGAAAAACTTCAGCAGACAGAAAAATGAAAGTCAATAAAGTAAAAAATGTGAAAGGGAAGGTTAGGACCACTCAGACGAGGAGATGGACACAAAACTATTTGAGAAGCAGTAAGATGGGAGGAGGGCTCAATATGACAATATACAATATTATATTGTTATTGTGATAAATTACTGAGCATAACATGGAAAATGTCAGTACTTAAAACGCTTCCCAACTTAACCAGTACTTAACCGCTCATAAACGCTTTAAAAGGATAGCCTTGTTGTAAAGCAGTGTAACTAATAATGCTGCTAGCTTAGCCGGTTTTTTATTATTTTTTTTGCTATTTATAGATTCAGCAAACTGTAGGAGTTTGTGTGTGCAGGCATGCGTGTTGTGTTGCTAGGGAACGCAACAGAGGTTTGCCCCGCCTCCTTGTGTAAGAGCACAGGTCTGCCACTGGTAAAATAGATTATAATGGACTATAATATTATTCAATGACATATTAAGTATGAAGAAGATAAAATGACAGTATGTCAGATTATCTTCATATTATTATCTTATGTGTATTCCACTATTGTGTAGAAAATGAGCTATTTCCAAAAGAAACCATAACTGAATCACATTGCTGTTAATGACCTGAGCATGGCGTCCGACTCCCTGACTGCTTTGGCCAGCTGATCCTTCTTGATCCGCTGCTGGACCAACAGGTCATGCGCCCGAGTCCACCTGATGATTAACACACATACAGAGCTTTCGATCACCTTTATGAGTCACAGTTGTCACCATCGTTAACAAAAGCATCAACAGGTGGAGAAATTCTGTGGAAAGTGCAGAATCTAAATCTATATCACATTTTGATCGATGTTTATAAGCATATTTTATTATGCTCTGAACTTTATGAAAAGTTTTTGATGTTACTGATTAGTGTGTAGAGTCTTGTTTTTGAGACAAGAAAACATGTTCTTTATATTTTTGCCATGCTTCTGATGTTTTTCACATCAACACATCAAAAGTCAAAAGTATAGTTTTGAACCTGTTAGAACAGAATATTAACCAAATGTAAATGTAATTTACATAAATATGTATTTATTTATATAATGAGAGAGATATCAGTGTCATCACTTACCATTCCACCATGTGAGGGACCTTCTCCTCCACTGACAGAGAGTTGTCGATCTCGATGGGGTAGTAATGGGACAACAAGTTTGCCAACTGCATGAAAGAGAGAAATGAAACATTTAAAATGAAATTGCAGCTTATTTAAAATCTTTAAATGGGGAATTCATCCACTTTTCAAAATGTCTCAATATTTCAGTGTTATCGTTAAGATGTAAACAAAGTCATAGAGTGGTTTGATGTGAAATGTTTGACTTTAAAAGCTACACCACAAAGTTATTACGCCAAATGCTTATGAATTTGCTGCCTGATATCAGAGACAGTGTTATATGATAGTTTTAAAATAAAAATGTATTGTAAGAAGCCGATGCTGTGCAGTTTGTTTGGCTGAGAACTATTTTAACCACAATGTCTTTGCAGTAAGTTAATGCTTCACCAAGTGCAGCAGCAGACAAATAATGTCTTCTTATTTCATTTATGCATCCATATAAGACTGAATCTGGGGTTATTAAATTGTTTGGAGCAAACCAGGCAGTTTCAGTGAGATAATTCTGACTGTGTACTGGAATATCTGGCCGGAGCAGTACGGTATACTGGAGGTATTCATGTTGGTCACATACTGTACACCACATACTACTTTTGTGCACAATCAGTGCACGAGGGGCATGTAGGAGCCTATTTCCAACACAGCCATAGTCATATTTCAATTTCTTGAACATCACATTGATTTATATTATTATACACATTTTAGTTACTGTCATTTTTGCTGCAATCAGTCACCTACCTTGGATGTGCATTCTTCGCTAATGAGGGAGCTGTTGTCAAGGATGTCTGTGGGGTAAAAGGAAACCATTAATGTTCAACATTTCTGAACTTTTCTGAATCTTAAACTTGGGGAAAGTAAAGGCACCATGTTGCTGTTCCTATTAAGCATTAATGATACTTCCTTTCTTTCGACTCTGCTGTAAATACAGTCAGTCTGATTTCATGCAAATATGGCCAGAGTTTATATCTAAATGATCACAGTAGAATGTAGTTTTGGTGGATATTCTTTCTATTTTTGAAGTGTTTACAACTATAGTAGATTGTTCATAAACATTTCAAACTTAATCCTTCCAATACTGCAAAAAAGGCAAATTGAACTTTGCAGAAGAGCAGGCTTTGAAATCAGCTGAGAATTCTAGAAAAATGAAACCAAATACCCACTTTTTGTTTCATTTACATTTATGGCATTTGGTAGACACTCTTATCCAGAGCGACTTACAATCTGATCTTTTTTTTTTCTTTTTTAAACACAGGTAGGCGACGTTAGTGTTAGGAGACATTGCCCGAGGACTATAGGGTGCTTACCCAGGTGGGGGATTGAACCCCATTCTACAGCATTGAGGGCAGAGGTGTTACCCACTACAATACCAACCACACTGATATTGATATAAAAACCTTGAGCACGAAACTATCTAATATTTTTTCTTTAAAAACTACTGAACTTTGAAATGAGCTGTTTTAATGAAAGCATTTTGTTTAAGATGATCATCTATCAGTAGGCTATCATGCTCAAACTACCCAATCAATCTACCAGCCCACAAGAAGAACTACAAAGCTGACATCCAGGCGATCCAGCATTTTCCAGCACATCAACCCAATTCTGTTACCCATTTACACAGATGAGCCAAAACATTACATGACTGCTCACACATAAAGCCAATAACAATGATTATCTCTTAACTACAGCGCATGTCAAAGTCTGCGATATATTAGATGGTAAGCAAACAGTCAGTTTTGTAGTTGATGTATATGATGTGAGAGAAATGTGCAGATGTGAAGACCTGAGCAGCTTTGACAAGAGCCAAATCATTATGGCCAGATGAGATGGCTTGAGGAACACAATGAAGGGCTCAAGGTTTTGCCCTGGCCTCCAAATTCACAGATCTCAATCCCACTGAGCATCTGTGGGAACCGCTGCAACGAGTCAGATCTACAGCGCAACTTAAAGGATTTATTGTACATGTGTACTCACTGTGTGATGTTGGGCAGCGTTTTCCGTTAAAAGCAAACCTGGTGAGCGTCATGTCGAAGTCAGAAATCACCTTAGCACATAAGAAAGGAACAGAGAGCAGAAAAAATCAGAGAGAACTTCACTGTGCTATGCAAACCTTTGAGGAGTACATTACTGTAAACCCTTCTCTCATAGCTCCACCTTGCTCGTGTACAGTTAGAGGCTGAAGTTTACCTATTGATTAGCATTAGTCATCCTCTAGCCTTTCATCAGTGGTCAGTTTCTGACCACAGAGACACTCTTGTCTTAATATTTTTGGGATGGGCTGCTCTCAACCTAGCAGTGACAGTGACGTGTGTAAAAACTCCAACAAACTCCGCTGTGTCTGATACACTTATACCAGCATCACATACGCAGCCATGTCAGCATCACTGCTGTCCTGAGAATGGACCACCACTTAAATATCTGGACAACAGCAGCCCTGTGGTCAGAAACTGACCAATGATGAATAGGGTAGAGTGTTTCTAATAAAGTAGACAGTGAGTGGAAGTGTAAGGTAGGTGTTTCTAATAAAGTGGACAGTGAGTGGAAGCACAAGGTAGGTGTTTCTAATAAAATGGACAGTGAGTGGAGGTGTAAAGCAGGTGTTTCCAATAAAGTGGACAGTGAGTGGAAGCACAAGGTAGGTGTTTCTAATAAAGTGGACAGTGAATGGAAGTGTAAGGCAGGTGTTTCTAATAAAGTGGAAAGTGTGTGTAGCAGTACCTGTAGTGCACCTGGTCCTGCCCTGTGCATGTTACGGATGATCTCTTCCACTCTTCCTCTGTCTCTCATAATGACTGAGGGTTTCGTTAGCTCAGGTATCTGAATTTGCAGATGGGGAAAAAGAGAGAAACCATGAATAATTTGAGCTTTAACTGACTTTGTCTCCAGGCACTTAACACCAATCACATCTACTGAAGTGACTGAATTATAGTCTTTTTCTATCTTGATTACATTTTGAACTAATAATCAGTTCATATTTTAAATAAGAACCCAAATTGAATTGGATTTGCCATAAGCTGACACACCACTTTATGTACAGTGCCCTCGACAGCTTTGAGGCACAAGCTTTTAGCACTGGCCTACTAAACATTAACCTGGTTATAGTAGTTTTAACTGATTAGACTTTTTTTTTCTGTCCTCCGTATCCTCTGTAAACGATGCTTATAAACATAGAAAGCTGTTTAAATATGTTATGCTCAACGATTATGTCTGAAAATGGCTGGAAAATACCTACGAATACTGCATATTGCAGTCTTTACCGGAGCTGTCAATCTTTACCAAATGCTAATTAATGCTGTCCTACATAGTCACTGCTCATGTCAAGTTTCTGGGATTGTCAATCAATGAAGAAAAACAATAAACAACAATGGATTGGATGAAAATTGGATGAGCTAAGGCATGAAAATCCTTTCACGAGGCAATGAAAGCATTTCTGTAGTTGACTTCATAGAAGCCATGAGCAAACCACTGAGCATTTGACCTGAAGTTGGCTGATGTATTGAAGTACCTCAAGTTAAAGTGAAACAAAGGCTACGTTCACATTACCTGGTTGAAGTGCTTAAATCTGATTATGTGCCCTAATGTGACTCAGATCTGATGTTTTCAGGGCTGTGTGGACACGCAAATCTGATCACTTCAAATCTGACCTGAGCCACTTTCATATGTGGTCCTAGATCAGATACGTAACCGATTTGTGGCCATACGACCTTAATGTGACGCTCAGATCGGAATTCATGTGCTTTTTTTCCACTGCGCGTGCGCCATCATTCAGCGTTACCATGGCAGCAGCGTCGAACAGACGTTAAAGCCTGTAAATGGTGGAAAAGCAGCACATCTCACCTTTTTCACCTTCGTCTCGCTCTAATAATGAAGCTGAGAGCTGATCAGAGTTAATTATCTTCACAGCGAAGCTCGTTCTGCTCGTTAGTTTGTGCTGATGATGCACGTGATTCATTCACGTGACGTTACTGAGTAGACAGATTTGAATCACTTACCTAAACGAGTGTGAACCATCGCGTCAGAGAGATCGGATTTGAGCAAAAAATCGGATTTAAGCAATGAGGCTTGTAATGTGAACGTAGCCCAATAGTCCTCTCGCCTTTCTGGACTCATATCAGCCCAACTGCTCATAGCTGACAGGAAATAAGGACGGAGTGAACTCAACCGCCATTTGCTCTTAAGTGAGCAGATCTAGCTAGAACATTTAATGCTGATTAAGATTTAGAAGTGCACTGATTATTCGGCTGGTTTGACTAAACGTTGACTTAATGAACTCTTAATCTGGTAAAACGGCGAATAGATAAAAAACATAGTATTGGAAAACTCTGGACTACAGAACTTAAAAGAACAACACATTCAGTAAAACAGAACATTCTAGTTTCTAGCACCGGCAACTTCGTCCCCTTTAAATGATCCAAACATTGTTAACAAACTATCTATAGAAACTCAACAGCATCAGAATATGTTTCCAATTTTAAACTCCAAGCTCAGTCGCATTTAACAGGTATTCATTTGAATATCAGCTGAAGACCAGAAGCGCATCTACAAAGATTCTAAAGCGGACTACAAAAATAAGGTGCTACTGGCAACTTTTACTGCCTACTCTACGTGCGGACGCTTGGCATTTATACTGTCCTTTTTCTATCAACAGTAAACTGGACAATGAATTATGATGTACAGCAGGTTATCAATGTCACTACAAAGTGAACACAGCACCATATAACAGGGCTGGGCAATATGACAATATATATATTGTTACTGTGACAAATTGTGTCACAATATAATACAATATGCTTTTCTGAACACACTGATCTAATTATCAGTACTTGTTTCATTATAAAGAGAGCATAATTAGTTCCACTTAACTGGATGTAGTGCAACACTGCAAAATATTGAACAAAAATTATTGTGTTCAAAGTTTTTGATAGTGTTTTTAAACAATGTAGCACTACTAAAAAAATACATATCGTGATATTTTTCGTATCGTGAAAATTTCCTGAAGCATCACAATATTATATTTTTGCCATATCGCCCATCTCTTCTGCAATATCTGCACTTCAGTACTAGTTCTGAGCCCAGTGCTGGTACTGGTACTGGTATTAGTGCTACCAATACCATCACCTTCATAATCACTTGTGTTGAGGAACAGAAGGCCACACACAAAAGAGGTTAAAGTGCGAGCGAGGAAGAAAAAGAGCCCAGGGAAAGGCAAAACGCTGGTTTTGGGGAAACAGCAAGATGGAAAAGGAGCAAGATGGATGGAAAGAGAGAGAAACCCATCTGACCTCATACTTTGTCAGCTGATGCCAGATTGCTAGGACATTCCGAACAGGAACATAGATCCATGGGATGTGGAAAATCTGGGCACAGAACCAGAGTTTTAGGTTTAGCCGAAATGGGGCAGAAGCTTTATGCTAACCCTGGTAGAACGCAGCAAGAACAGCGAGCCAGAGGGAGCTGATAAAGAGCCTAAAGCTGACAATGAGTGGAAGCATCTATCATGAAGCAGTGAGATGAGCATGTGGAGCTTCAGCAACAACGGATATGCTTTGACAGGCCTCTCATTATTATCGTAACCAGCTAAAATTAAGTTCTTCGTAACTTAACTAGGTTATGCTTAAATAGACCCCCAAAGTTATGTTTCATTTTGTTGTTGATATCTTGCCCAAATAAGAAATAAGCAGTTTTTCTCTTTAGGAAAAAAAAAAAGTCCACTTTAAATGATCTACTGTAAGTATTGTTAACAAACTATCCGTAGAAACTCAACAGCATTAAGATGTGGTTCCAATTTTAAATTCCAAGTTCAGTCGCATTTTGGATCTTCATAAAATGAGCATCTTCATAACTTAACTAGGTTATGCTTAAATAGAAAAAAATGAACAGCGTTTTTGAGAATCGCAGTCTGTAGTAAACTAAAATGACTACATTTAGACCACGTGGATTAGCATCGCAGAAAAATGCAAGACTTATTTCTACAGGGTTACGTATGCAATGAAATTAATAAAGACATTTAAGCATAATAGTCCCAGCATCATCTAAACATTCTTCTGCTTCCAAAAAGCCATAAATGTGGCATTAAAGATCGGTTTGAAATATCAGTCAAATTTAAAATCTATCCGATGCAGATGTTTTTTTTATTTAGACATTAAGGCCCAAATCCCATTTCACCCCTCGCCCCTACCACTTAGCCCTACCCCTTCATTTTGCGTGTTCATGCCTAGGGGTAGGGTGTCCTGATGTTTATTGGGGTAGGGTGAAGTGTTAGGGCTACATGACACTCCAAACTGAGGTTTTTCAGACACACTTCAAACAGAGTGATATGAGGGAAAAAAATAGCTGAGAAAGCGACCAAAGAAACCCACAAATGAGAGAATTTTCTCCGCTAAAAAATTACGATAACTACTGTATTGTCTTAGTTTAATGTCATTTCAATGTATCATGGTCATTTTTTTCATAACAAGCATTAAACTTCACTAGTAGTTTGCTGGTCTTGGTAGCTAGCTGGCTAAATTTCCTGTTACACCTTAAATAGTGGAATGGGAAAATTCAAGCAAGAAGCTGGTGAATAGCTGAGTTCAGCTTCATTTCACTGAAGAATCAGGGGTGGGTGATAAAAAATAATTATCGCATCCCCCTCTTTGGAAACATATGATGCCCCAAATGTAACTAAAGCCCAGCAGTGAGGAGCTGAACTTTACCCTCCTCTGCTATCACTGCAGACTGGCAGGGTTGTCTACGGAGCAGCTCTAGTAGCTGTTAATGAACTAATGTTCATTTTTATTTGAGGGTCCCATTTTGTAGAGGAAGATTTCAACCAATACCCCCTGTAACTCAGTTCCAAGGGGTAAAGTGACCCTCGAAAACAAGGGGTGGGGGTAAAATTAAGAAATAGGATTGGGCCTAAAGGTTTATATAAGAACACTCAAACTGTAGGCTACTACTGTCCAAATAGCTTAACATTTGATGAAGCTTGCTGGTTTGTATGAGGTCTTTTCGTAAGGTTGGCAGTCTTGTGATGTCAGTATGATGCGCTGCAGTGTTGGCTAGCATGTAGCGGCATTTGTATTTTACATTTAGGGCATTTAGCAGACGCTCTTATCCAGAACAACTTACAATTGGATCATTTTACACAGGTAGGTCTCTACAAGGTCTCTTATTGGTATAGTATAGGGTGCTTGCTCAGGCGGTGATTGAACCCCAGTCTACAGCGTAGACTGTGCAAATGACAGAATGCACTGGCTTTAGATCATTTAAGTGCAATAAGGTGAGCTACATCAGTATTTTGAAAAAAACTGCATAGACTCGTAATTCCTAATATGGGTATGATGCTGACCACAAAATGACGACACGACTTTAGAGGTCTATGTAATTACCCAGTTTAGAGAAGGTTTGTGCCCTTTGTTTTTAACTTACACTTACTGGCCACTTTAACAGAAACCTCTACCTTGTTTAAGTAACCTGTCTAGCTAGTTTCAGTCTTAAAGGGCCACTCCAGCCTTAAACTAGCATTTAACATGTAATGTGTCGTGTTATATAATATTCTGTAGCGCAGCACTGAATCCTTTAGCCTTGTTGACTTGACAGAATTGTGGATTTTGTATCCATTTTGTGTTTTTTGTCCATCAGTGTTCCCTCACTACAACAGCCAACATGACAAATACATCATACAACCACTGGGAATCCCTCATAATGGGCTGTCACTGCTCTGTCACTACAATACCCAGCATGGCTTGCACAAAAATGTCATACAACCATTGGGAATCCACCTAGAAATGACATGTACCACATATTGACTACAGACGTGATATTCAGCTTTTCAGCAGTAAGATTCCTTCTGCATTAGCCAGCTATCAAACCCAAAAAAGAAACAACCATGTATCTGTTTTCAGGAGTTCCTCTCACCTTCGAGATACATCATGACTAAGTGGTTTTCCTCGTCTTTAAACCAGAGTGTCTAACTATTGAGACTACTTTAGCACTGCTGAAGGAGGCGGGTAGTCATGTTAACAACAGATGTAGCAATAGTTTTCTTTTTTTTCTCTTTTTTTTATTTTAATTTTGGCTGGACTGCCTCTTTAAGGATATTAATAGCAGGTCATAAATGAATGGTATCTGTTTACATCAAGTAAGGCCTGTACGATATAAAGTCTGGGAATTTTTATTGCAAGACTGACTCTTACAATACGCTACAAAAGCCTTGTGACTAATCATATATGTTCGATACTGTGACCATTCTGTCCAAATGACCTGACCAGATGATCAAGATGTAGATTCTGTGGGCGGCTTTGATGAACTGAGGCATTTAAATGATCCAACAACCAATTCAGGTCAAAATTCAGACCTTAACTAACCTAGCTAAGCTACACTTCACCAACGGCTCGTCAAACCGCTTCCATATCGAATATATGCACCATTCTGCACTGGTCAGGGAAAACTGGTCAAAATTGGAGTTATATTACAGCAGTTCCACCCCACTGCAAAGCTGATTCCCCAGAAAACAGAAAACCTCGAGCTATATCAAGTTAAACTGACTGGCCTTGCGTTTTCAGCTTTTTACAGGAATGAATGGCTTTGGTAATCAGCGCTCAGCTGCCGGCTAGGCTAACGTCAAATAACCGCTGTTTACTTACCATTTTCGACAGATAATGTTCAAAATAAGAGCTGTGGTCTTGGTTTCTGGCCTTGAGCTGCGGCTAAGAGTCGATTTTAAACGTATTCGCTCAAAATAAACAAATGTATCCAAGTTTTAACTGACAAACAGTAGCTTAGCTACCAACACAGAGCTAGGATACCGGACACCAGGG